TGCAACAGCCCTAGCTGTCCTGGAACTAGTTCTGTAGAGCAGGCTGGCCTCAAACTCATAGAGATCTGCCTACCTCTGCCTCCTGAGTGCTGGGATGAAAGCTGTGTGCCACTTTCTTGTTTAAGCCGGTATAGTCACTTCTTTGGGTTCCCATGGCACCATGTGATACTCTGACATTACATCCAGTTGTTACTCCCAACTGTAAGCTCTCTAAGACGAAGACCACATTGTGTCCCTATTAGTCATATAAGGGCTGATATACAAGCAACAGGTGTTTAAAGCATTAATATCTACCTGACACTTTTGTGTCAATAAGGCCTATGTCCTTGGCCCTCTGGAATGCCCCTTGGGCAAACTATACAGCCCTTGAATCATAGATACTAATCTTGAACTTACTGATTTTGGCTTGTCACCCTGCTATCTCCAGACCTGTGGCAGTCCTGGAGCTCAGGGTGGGGTTCCTGAGTCCTTTCCTCCTGGTTTCTCCTTCCTATCAAAGGCCTGCCCGCTTCCCCGTCACTGGGTCTTGGGATCCTGACTGCATGTAGGTAGAGTGCTCTCAGCGTGCCGAACTGTCTGTATTCCCACTCAGGGCCCTGACCAGTCACAGTACTCAGTGCTGCCAATCATTCGGAAAATGAAAAGGAAGGAGAAGGATTGTCAGTCAGCCTTCTATAGCCTATGCCAACCTTAGGCTGAGTCTTGATCCTCTGGCTCCCACTGCTGGTGTCACCTGACTCTCACATCCTAAGCTTTGTCTGGCTTTTGTCCTTGACTCCCAGGCCGACTGCTGGTCCTGGTTTCTAGAGCACTGTTGAATTCCCAGCAGGACACACTGACATTAAGCTTTATCCTTAAGACAGAGGGAGTAAGAGTTCTGTTTGTTTTAAAGGTGTCGAAGGTAGAGCAGGAACGGCAGCTCCATTCCTTTTTGAAGAGTTGCATTTTGTGTCTCAAATACGAAAAACACTTCAGATATCTGGAAGAAGACAATGAATTGGTTTTACATTGCTAAGTGCCTCACCCGCCCCCCCCCACACCATTTTCTCTGATCATAAAAATTATATAGGTCTGTAAAAAGTCAAACAGTTATAAGAAAAAATAAAAATAAAAAACAAGAAATTGATCAAAAGGCAGCTCAATGTTACCACTAGAGCAAGTACAGTGTGGGAAGGTGGGCGTGAGGCATCCCTGGGATAGAAACACATCTCTGTCACTTACTACCTATATAGTTTGGAGCAAACTACTTAACTGTGAACAATTTCTATGAAATCGAGATAAAGATTTCAGTTAGGTTATATGACATCTGTACAACAAGTATACTGGTACACAGGTAACATTTACATCCCCGATGACTGAAGAGGTTTCATGAGAAGATTGAAGTACAAAGTCTATCATGGCACCTGCCCATTCAGTGAATGGTAAGTCATAGTGAACGTACCTCAGCTCTCCTCCTTTCTCAACTGTATTTTCCTCTTTGCCTTCATTGGAACTAAACCTAAATCAAAATACAGTTACTGTGAGTCTATCACATGCCGGTGTTGTGCCATTATGAAGACAGTCATTTTAAATTGGTATGTATTAATTATTGTGTGCATGTGTGGGGTCCGGCATGTACCACGGTGTGTGGAGATCGGAGGGCGACTCTGAGGAGTCACTTCTCTCCTTCCATGTCTACATGGCTTCCGGGGATGGAACTCGGGTCATCGGGCTTGCACTGCGAGCTCTGTACCTGCTGAGCCATGTCACCGGCCACGAGCATATTTAAATCGTTTGTGTTGGAGCAAACCCTGTCTCAAAGTCCATCAGCTTGTTCCGCAGCCACTCTTTCCACTAACAGCATAAAGCTGACTGCGAACAGGACCTCATCTTTTGTATGTGTGTATGTGAAGGGATGCTAAAACCTAACAAGGCTACTTGAGGATTGGGGTCGCTACTCGGGACACCCACCACACATAGATACTAAATAAATAATTAGTATCTGAGGAATATGCACAAACTAAATGACTTTCCTCATCTTTCATTTGTGGGAGGGAAAATCCCAAGGGATACCCTTCTCTGGTTTATTTTTGACCCTAAAACCTTTCAGTGAATTTGTAAACAAAACTCTAATCGCCTTGACATGGTCCTCAGTTTATTTACTGGCATCTGCTGGCTATGGTTCTCTATGAAACCCATCCAGTTGCTGGGTTTCTACGAGGCTAAATGCAATACCATTCTAAAAGCGCTTGCCCGGTATGTTTGTTATACGATGGTGGAGTTGCCGACTGTTATCAGTGTGACTGTGGCGGGCTCAGTGTGAAGACTCCATCATCTCATTTATACCTCCCGCCAACGAGAGTGATTCGATTTCTCATCTGCTCTTCTCCCAATCTTTTCACATCTTCCAAGAAACTCCTGGCTGACCTAAAGCTTAGGTCCCTAGACTTGTCACTCTCCATGTTTCCTGTCCTCCGTACACTCCCCTCCTCTAATCAGCAGCCCGCCCCCCCCCCCGCCCGCTTCTAAAAGGAAACCTAAATCATGCAGTCTTTTCAGTTTTCACTGTTCCTACCATATTTTGTTTCTTTGTTTATGTTTTCAGAAAGGTCTTACTATGTAGCTCTGGCTAGGTTGGAGCTCGCTAGGTAGACCAGGCTAGTCTCCAGATCACAGGGATCAGCTTGCCCTTGCTGGGATTAAAGGCACATACCACTGTGCCCGATACCACTTTTTAAGTCACTCCTCCTCCCCATTTACATCTCTCTGGAGAATGTAAGCTTCATGTTGGAGGGGCCCCAAAACAGCTTGACCACACAGTTGCCATGACAGGCGTAGAGGCCCAGACACAGCTTCTGGCAGGCAACACTTGGACCCAGGAAAAGCCATAAGCTGACCCCATCCAGTGGGGCCTGCATCTAAGAGGAAATACCTGACATTCCAAACATTCCCTATACCCCTAGACAAATGTCAGCCGACCAGGGTCCTGAACCCTGAAAATCCCCTCACCCCACCTGAGCTCAGATCTCTCTGCTCTCACTGCTGCATCAGAAGGACAGAGAGACCAAGCCCCGGAGCTTGAAGATAATAAAGGCTCTTTGCTTTTACATACAGGATTCGGTCTCCGTGGTGGTCATTTGGGAGTCCCCGAGATCTGGGCATAACAATGTGTTCTCTTGACCACAGCTCTGCTCCACTACCTCAGCACCGAGAACAGTATGTGCCCTTTGTAGGCTTTTGCAAATTATGTCTTCTATGAATTCATATTGCAGCTAACCTTTGAAGTTATGATTCCTATCTTACAGATGAAAAACAGATTCCTAGTACTTAAAATAACTTACCTAAGGGCACACAATTAGCAGAACCAGGATTCAAACCCAGTCAGGTTACCTCCACGGCCTGTTTCTTATCCTCAATGCTATAGGATTGAACTACGGTGGCCCAAGACGATTATTAAGGATTTTGTGTGTGTGGTGTGTACTGTTGACAAAAACTTAAGTAGAAATTCTCCAATCTAATGATGTTTTCCTAGAAATAAGGTTTGTGTGTCCCATTATACAGCTTAGCAGGCCCAGCAGGTCCTGGCTCCTCCCAGTCCTTTTTCCCTTAGGCCTCTTCTCCCAACGTGTCAGTAGCTAGAGCAATCTGAGACAGTCTTCCTCCCCATCCTCCTCCGGAAACCTTCACCACTCTCTTATTTTGGAAGGATTTGAACAGGATGGAAATCCTTCATCCGCCTGTCACTATTGCCCACTGCTGTGCCCAGCGCTGGAGCAGCCCTTAGAACACCGGCTTAATCTTTTGTTGTTGAATAAAGGTGGATGGGGCACCGCATTTTACCCCATTGTCCATGCAAAAACCACAGCGCTCATCTTTTTTTATTTTTATTTTTCATATCCCTTACATGGTTAAACATTTTACATATTCCAGGTGAAAAACAAGACTTCTCGTAGATCAGGAATCTTTCAGCCATAACTGTTTACATAGGCAGTAGTTTTTGTAATTGCCACAAAACAGGTTACTAGTTTCACTTTCCATATTTTAGAGCTCAGTCCAATTATCTTAACTAACCATCCAATTCTTTGTTTTCTAGTTACATGAAGTTAATTGTTTAAAGCTTGATTTTAGCTATGATGCACACTGAAACCCGTAAACACATTTTCCAATATCAGAAAGAACTTGAGCTAACTCCTGGGACTTGACTGTTTTTCTTTTTCTTTCTTTCTTTCTTTTTTTCCCATGGCTCTCATCTTAAAGGGAATGAGACACATTTTACTCTGGAGTGATTTTGAGTGACCACAGCCTGGTTACCCCAAACTTCATGTTCCAATGCGGAAGCAGTTTCATGAAGTTTTATAGTTCTACAGAGCAATGAAAGTCACAAACCAAGTTTAAAATACATTCAGAGAGTCGGGTATATCAATGTGGGGGAAGCTTCCCTATAGGATCAAGATGCTATCTGATGGCATTCTTAGCTTTGGGGTTGGTGGAAGCTAGTGGTCTGCTAAATTAATAGATTCCAAAGGTTCCTATCCATTAAGTCACAAGGTGATAATTCCGATACACAAATGGGTAAGGAAGGGCTGTTCCAGAGGGCTGGAACTAGCCAAAGATAGGCCATTAGCCTCTGGATCTGCAACATTCCAATCTCTCCACAGTATTGAAATGCTGATCAGCCAAGCCGTTCACGCAGACAGGGCTTCTTTTCTAGAGTTTAGTTCACACCACCACCCTAGGCATTGGGAAGGAAACCCTGGCTAGGAAAGTGAGCTACCATTGAGTTCCAGTGCTAAACAGCAAGAGGTATTTTTCTCACTTTCCAAGTGGAAAAACTTGCTCAGAGCAGTGAAATATATGGTCCTGAGTCAGTAGACCAGTGGCAGAGAGATTGGAAAGCTCCCAGGTGCACGCAGACAACCAAGCTTGCACTCCTCACTTCCGGTCTAAATCAAGTTTCCCCTTACGTCAGCCCCGGCTGGACGCTCAGTAGTTTGGCCCTCATCCGCCGCCGTAGCGCGTCGCCTCGGTTGCCATGGGAGACGACCCGCGACCCGGGAGTGAGCGAATCCGTTTCCCGCCGGCGGGAGTTGAGCAAAGGGCTCGGGGGCTGCACTACCATGGCGGAACAGCTCTATCTGGAAAACATAGACGAGTTCGTCACGGACCAGAACAAGATAGTGAGGAGCTAGGACTGGGGCGGGGGCACGCGCGTGCCGGGCGAACGTGAGGGGTCCTGGGCCTGCCGGGGCTCGGCGGGGCAGGTCTCCAGCCGGGCGCTTGTGGCTTCGTGGGGACCGGCCGAGGGGGGGGCACAGGTCACCGCGACGCCCCTTTGCGGGAGACAGTCCCGGCGGGAGAGGCTCCCGCGTGCTCCGCAGTCGGCGGGCCTTGGGCGTGGGGGGCGCTGGGGGGCACGGAGCCTGCTTCCCTGGCCTCCTCCCCCGTGCCCGGTCGGGTGGCGGGACCCTCAAGCCCCGAGTGTGCGGTTGAGGAGACACGACGTCTTAGCTGGGCTACTGACGGGTGGTTTGTCCTCCAGAGACAGTTTCCTCTTCCTGGAAATTTAAATATTGAAAGCAGCATGACCCGCCTCTCTGGGCTGGTGTAAAGATCCAGAAAGACCTGGATGTGAAGGAACTTTGCCATTCTGAGCCCATGGGCACAGTTTGGTTACAGTGACTTCCGTCTCCCACTCTCTCAGGCAGGCTGCTGGGGTTATTCCCGGAAGTGGAATTTGAAGCCAAGGGCCAAATAGCTTGTATATGGGCCATTAGTAAGCGAGGGATAATCCTTGAGTCTTAGGTCTGGCTCCTCCTCTCATGCCACCCTGCCTCTACCCAGTCGCTATCAGTCTCTTTATTGGGAATGCAACGTTTAGAATGGGAAGAAACAGAACAGACATGACTAGGTCAAGGAAGGGTGGAGGCTTGATGCCTCTGTTTTCCAAAATGACCTGTCATACCACATTTAAACATTTAACTCATTTTCTGGTCCCCACACCGCCCGTTTCTCATAACGTCTGTATAGCTAGCTGCAAGTTTGTTGAGAAGTTCCTGGGTTATATGCTTTCAAAATAATCTAGCTTTTAGATAAATTTTAGGATAGTTGTAGGTGGTGGCTTCTCAAAGACAGAAAACATAAGTAAAACAAGGAGTGTGAGTGAAATGAGTCCTTGCTTATTTTTGGCTTGACTTTGTAGATTCTTAAAACATTTGTTACATTTTGTGTGTGTTTGTGTGTGTGTGTGTGTGTTAGTATGTGAGAGCATGCTTGCTATGGCACACATGTGGATATCAAGGACCAGTTCTCCCATTCCACTGTATGAATTCAGGGGACCAAACTCACGTTCTTAAGGGTATGGTAGCAAGTCCCCTTACCCACTGACCCATCTCTCTGACCCACCTTCGTAGATTCTTTTGCATTGGTCAATCTGTGAACCATCTTAGTATTTGTAAGATAAGTATCTTGGTCTTACTTGTCACATAGATGGTTTTTCTAACGGACATCTATTGTAGTTTACAGGACATAATCATCCAAGAGTAAGAGTGTTTAGGAGCAGGCTCTGGGCATTTGTACTCTGGGATCATCTAATAAAACCTTAAAAATAGCCGGGCGGTGGTGGTGCACGCCTTTAATCCCAGCACTCGGGAGGCAGAGCCAGGTGGATCTCTGAGTTCGAGGCCAGCCTGGGCTACCAAGTGAGTTCCAGGAAAGGCGCAAAGCTACACAGAGAAACCCTGTCTCAAAAAACCAAAAAAAAAAAAAAAACAACAACAACAACAAAAAAAACAAAACCTTAAAAATTGTTTTTTTTCTTTCAGGTAACTTACAAGTGGCTCAGTTATACACTAGGAGTTCATGTTAACCAGGCAAAACAGTAAGTCCAGTTTACTGCTAATTTTAATGATGTTGGAATTTTCTTAAACTTTGTTTTAATGTTCATAGAACTCTTAGGTTAGAACCGACTCCCCCCCCCCCCCACCGGGTTAATAGGAAAGAATATTATTTTCACTACTTTTGTCTTTCTTTTGAAGTGTGTGTGTGTGTGTGTGTGTGTGTGTGTGTGTACATTGGCCACAGAGCACATGGGAAGGTCAGGATGATCTTGGGCTCCGTTCCTACCTTTTCAGCTTGTTTGAGATGGGAGCTCTTGTGATTCTCTGCTGTGTGTACCAGGCTGGTTGGCCTGCCAGCTTCTGAGGCTTCTGTCTGCCTCCCTCTCACCACAGAGCTGGAATTACAGAAATAGGCTACTTTATCCTGCTTTGCTTGGGTTTGGGGATCTGACCTTGGGTCCTCATGCTTGCATGGCAAGTACCTGACTCCCTTCACAGTTTCGTTTCCCCAGCCCTGTTCTTCTCTCCTTTAGGGGACTTGCTTACAAATGTGATAATTGTTTTGTTGTTGTTGTGTTTTCGAGACAGGGTTTCTCTGTGTAGCTTTGGCCTGTCCTGGAACTCGTTCTGTAGACCAGGCTGGCCTTGAACTCACAGAGATCCACCTGCCTCTGCCTCCCAAGTGCTGGGATTAAAGGCATGCACCCCCACTGCCTGGCTAAATATGATAATTTTGCTGGATTTTTTTTTCCAGCCTTGGCCTATGGTTAACATCACTTTGTGTAGTGGTGTGAATGAGAATGATCCCCCATAGGCTCATATATTTGAACTTTTAGTCCCCAGTTGGTGGCACTGTTTGGGGGAGGTTTAGGTACAGCCTTGCTGGAGTAAGTACATCACCAGAGGCAGCTTTGAGTGTTTGTAGTCTCGCCCCACTTTGTGTTCACATTCTGTTTTGTGCTTGTGCTCACCTTTGAAGATAGGGGCTCTTGCTTCCTGCTCAACCTCCCTGCCTGTCACACCTCCTTCCATGATGGACTCTTGTCCCTCTGGAACTGTATGTCCAAGTAAACTGTATTCCATCAGTCGGTTTTGTTTTGTCACGGTCTGTTGTCATGGCAACAGAAAAGTAACTAATACACTTCGTTATTTCAGCTTTATTAAATGGGTTAACCAGTCCTGTTTATGGCTCAGATCTACGTGTTTATTGTCTTAGATCTTCATGTTTTCACATGTGTTTGTTAGGCCCAACTTTGGCCCAGATTTTCATAATGGTTTCTGTTGCTGTGATAAGCACTGATGAAAACCAGCGTGAGGAGGAAGGGGTTTGTCTTACAAGGCAGGAACTGAAGCAAACATGAAGGAGCACAGCTTATTGGCTTGCTCTCTTTGGCTTCTTCAGCTGCCTTATACAATTCAGGACCATCTGCCCACTGCGGACTGGGCCCTCCTCCATCAATTAACAGTTAAGAAAATTCCCCACAGACATGCCCACAGGCCCCTCCAGTGGAGGCCGTTCCTCAGTTCAGGTTCCCTGTTCCTGAGTGTGTCAAGTTGCCACCTGAAGCTATGACAGAGGACAACATGTGTTTGACATTAGCTGTCTGGCAGACTAGAGTGTGAGAACTAGAGCCAGTGAGTTGGCTCAAGGGGGCAAAAGTGCTTGCTGTTGAGCCTGATGACCTGAGTTCAACTGTAGGAACTTAGTGGAAAGAAAGGACAGACTGTCACAGGTGATCTTCTGATCTCCGCACGCACGCACGCACGCACGCACGCACGCGCGTGCACACACGCACAGAGTATAACTTAAAGATATGAGAGTATTTAAGTGAAAGCGAGTGCTTAGGATGGCCAGCGCACTGCTCTTCATTCTGCCACATCTTTTTGTTGTCGTTATTGTTAAAGCAGATTTGACTTGAGGCCCAAAGAGAAAAGACAACTTTTAATCAGTGTTAGAACGTTTGGTCTGCAAAGGTACAGAGTGTTTCTAAATCCCAAGAGGAAGACTTGGTTAACCATTTGAGAAATCATGTATGAGTTAAATGCCTGGTCTAGTTTGTCCTGCTCCTGGGTGGTCTGATTTTTATTTGTTCCTTTAGTGGTAGGTACATGTCTTAGAAAGCCCCTGTTCTCTAGAACAGGCCATTTGGGCTTTGAGTTAACATTAGATGGGTATAGGAGACTAATTTTACCTGTGATGTTTAAGCTTTCAAGACCTGAAACTGTTAGTCCAGAGGTAACTTCAGACCTGTTTTTACCAAGATTGCCCAAGATCAGCTTTGACCTAAACCTAAGAGCTGCAATAACTTTGGGAATGGACACATATAAGAGCTTTACTCATTGTCTGTGCATAAACAGGGCCACACTGTGTAGCCCTGGTTGGCCTGGAACTGTGTATGTAGGCCAGGTTGTCAAGTAGACCAGGGTGGCCTTGAACTCAGAGATCTGCCTCCGTCTCCCTGGTGCTAGGATTAAAGGCATTGAGCACCACAGCTGGTTGTGCTTTATTTTCAGTGCTAAGTGTTTGAATATGAAATGAAGCAACTGCTACTGTATTCACCTAATAGACTTGAAAATAAAGATGCGTTGTTCTAGCCTACCATCGGGCTCCTGCCTGTGTGCCCATCTTCACCTCATATGCTGCATGCCTCCTTACTGTAGTCTGGGTACACTTGCTTTTCAACAGATGATGCTTGTCCTGTTTCCTCTGCCTGGAATGTTCCTTTCCAGTTTTTGCCTTATCCTTCAGGTTTCAATTCTGTTAATTCTTTTATAAAATAGATTCGAACTGTTCACCCACTAAGCAGTTTACCCATGGAAAGTATACACTGTAATGTTTTCACAGTTGTACAGCTGTCACCAGGATCAGTGTTTGTTTGTTTGTTTTTTACCTTTTTAAAGCAGGAAAGACATTTCATGCCAATTCAGAAATCATCCCACTTAGTAAAATGGAAGCAATCCGACAGATACATGATCAAAAATTTTAAACCATTTAAAACTCCCAGAGGGGGTTAGAGAGTTGGTTCATCAGTTAAGAACACTGGCTACTCTTCCAGAGAACCCAGGTTCAGTTCCTAGCACCCACATGGTAGCTCACAGACATCTGTAACTCCAGTTCCAGGGGGTTACTTTCAGTTCTTTTTTAAGTATTATATCCATTTATTTATTTATTTATTTATTTATTTATTTATTTATTTATTTATTTATTATTTATTATTTATTCATTCATTTATTTATTTATTTATTTATTTATTTATTTATTTATTTATTTATTTATTTATTTATTTCGAGATAGGGTTTCTCTGTGTAACAGTCCTGGCTGTCCTGGAACTCACTCTGTAGACCAGGCTGGCCTTGAACTCACAGAGATCCCCCTGCTTCTGCCTCCCAAATGCTGGGATTAAAGGCGTGCGCCACCAACACCCAGCTGTTTTTTGTTTTTTTTTATAGTATTATTTTAGTCTATGTCTCTGACAGACAAGATCTTCTCATTGAATTAAACAAGATAATTTCAGATTGTGAAAATATTATGGAGGACTAAAGTTGAGTTAGTCCTGGGGGAAATTATGATTAGAACTGATAAGAAGAGAAAAATTAATGGTCTCAAAGGGGAGGCTGTAATTCATCCTATGTGTCGGAAATGTATTCTGTAGGAAGTCATGTTTTGTCACTCATTTTTAAAATTATTTCATGGGGGCTGGAGAGATTGCTTGGTGGGTGGTTGGGAGCACAGGCTACTCTTCCAGAGGACTCTAGTTCAATTCCCAGCACCCACCTGGCAGCTCACAACTGTCTGTAACTCCTGTTCCAGGGATCCAACACCCCCACATGGACATCCATGCAGGCAAAACACCAATGCACATAAAAATGCAAATACATTATAAAACAAGGTTATTTCACATATTTTGTTGTCAGAAATAGAGTACTTGGCTTTATTAAATGAGGTAAAAGTATTAAAGTATGTGTAAATTCCTTTTTTAAGGGCTTATTTTGAACTTCTCAGTAGAAAAGGAAATAGGTTAAATAAAAAACACGAAACAAAAACAAGTGAGAAAAAAACTAATAGGAAAACTGGGAAACCTGTGCAGAATACAAAATCAAGAGCTGTGGAGAAAAGACTGTGTTTGGCTGACATGCTCAAGAGTACCTTGGACATGTTACTTGCCTATTCAGTCTTCTACTAGCATGGTCCTAATTAGCATCAATAGTCGAGTCCACCTCCCCATCTGCCCTTCTAACATCATCACTGCAGTAGGGGAAACATGAGAGAACAAGGTGGAAGAATCCACAAAACTGGCAGATGGGACACACTTTGTACAGGAACTGATGGTCTAGGGAAAGGCAGCCATTTAACAAAGTAGTTAGAGGTGTCATAATACTTGTCATGGGATAATCTCTGTTAGCACTCAGAAGGCAGAGGTGCTCTGCTGGGCTGGCTGTGTTAGAGACGGCATGGAGTAGGAGGTAGTCCTGAGCTTTTGTCTTGATGAAGAATTCAGTGATGAGACCTGTATAGCCCTAGCTGGCCTGGAATTCTTTGTGTAAGCCAGGCTGGTCTCGAACTCAACTTGCCTCAGGATTAAAAGGCAGACAAGCAGATCTCTGATTCAAATTCCTACCCATTTCAAGCTTACACTCTATGAAAGAGATGGCTGGTCCTAATGGGTAGGAGCTTGGATGCCTTTGTTCACTGCTTAGAACTTAAGTGGCCACTCAGTAAAGTTTTGATTTTCTTTTTAATCTGCTGGCTTTTGTTATTGATTTGCATTTTAAAACTTCACTATGTCAGCCTCACAGATAATGATGGTGAGAAGAGAGTGCAGTTGACACTTGGAATTGAAATAGTCCAGTCAAGAGGCATGGAGGGCATAGAGGCAAGAATTAGTTGGGAGGGAGAGCTAATGAGACTTGGCAGCTCACTGCAGAAGGAGAGGTAAAGGGTAATGACTCGCAGATTTCTGGCTAAGGTGCTTTGAACAAATGATGATGTCATCAGGGAAAAAGGAAGCCATGGAGTTGAATAAAATAGACCACGGAGAGTGCCATGAGGTGACCAACCATATTCCATGTCAGGAAAGCTCTTAGACACGGGCTAACTGGGGTGACTGATCACACTAAAACAGTAAGAAGATGGCTAGGACAGTTTCCTGCAGTAAGGAAAGGAAGGCAGAGAAACTGCAGGAAACAGCTGGCGCAGTTGCAGCAGGAGACTCTGGGCAGGGTGTCATGGAGGCTGAGGGGCATCTGGAGAAGAGAGTGATCAACAGTCAGGGTGAGGTTTTCTTTGGCTGTTTTGAGATACCGTCTTACTATGTAACTCTGGGTGACCTGGAGTTCGTTATGTAGACCAGGCTGGTCTTGAACTCACAGAGCTCTACCTGCCTTTCTCTCTAGGGTTAAAAGCATGTGCCACTAGACCTAGCTCTCAGAATTTCTGACTTTCTGGCTGTTCTCGACAGAAGTGTGATATCAGCTTGCTAAATATTTATTGAAATAAAGACAAATGATAAGCATTTTTTATTGTTAAATTCTAGATTATTGAGGGGAGTCAAATATTAGTATTTTGGGTGGTTGGGATAAAAGTGAGTAAAGATTTTACTGTAAGCAACATTTCTGCATTTAATGTGTGGCTCTGTCACTCACCTAAATGAACATTTTGGATGCTGCCTGGTGTAAGCACCTGCTATATTCTAGTCATGAAACATCTGATTCTAAGTAATTCAGTAGTGTCAGAGGTGGCTATATATTTGTCTTCATGTATATGATAGCTTGAAATGTTCAATGTGATAGAATTACTGAAAACCCCAAAGCTTCTCTGTCCTCCAAAAGCACATACAGATTGGCAGCTTCTTTGAGAGTAGAGGCTTGTAGACATTGTATGAATTCGGATTATAAGAATTACTCATGTTTTAATGGCCCTTCTCTTTTATGCCTCAAGATATGAAGCCTAGACAACTTTATTCTGGATCCCATAGCTAGATAGTGACTCACTGTTGGATCTGCTACTTAATCACTGCCACTGTTTGGCTATGGGTTCTGTCCCTCTTGGCATATTTCTAGATTGATCTCAGTTACTTCCTGGGTCACTGAGCCAGTTCAAACAAGTTGGCTCCAGTTCCATGCTCCATCTAAATCCGTCTGTTGTTTTTTCAGAAATCTGCCTGTTCAGTACATAAAAAACTGTGTTATTTAGCGAGCTGTCAGATTTCTTATCTGTGTCTTTGAAGTCATGAATTAAGAGTTGATGAGGCGAAGATGCATGCTAACGAATCATTTCTGTCTTGTTTGGAACAGGATGCTCTATGAATATGTCGAAAGGAAGCGGAAGGAAAACTCGGGCGCTCAGTTGCATGTTACCTACCTGGTGTCTGGCAGCCTTATACAGAACGGACATTCTGTGAGTTCTCTCGTAATGAGCCTGTGTGTGTGTGAGATACAAACAGTATTAGAGCTAGCAGGAGAAAGAAGCAAGGTTGAGTTGTGTGGGAGTTTTAAAGTACCTCTTGAAGAGAGTGAGGATTTTTTTTTTCCCCCCAAGATAGGGTTTCTTTGTGCAGCTCTGGCTGTCCTGGAATTAGATCTGTAGACCAGGTTGGCCTTGAACTCACAGAGATCCACCTGCCTTTGCCTCCTGAGTGCTGGGATTAAAGGCGTTCACCACCACCACCCAGCCTTATTTTGAGATTCTAAACTAAATCTGACACTCAGGAAAGTTTAGGTGATGTCTTGGCTGTGATAAGATACTCATTAGTACATGGTTACCTAGGAAATGAGACATTAGAGAGTGGTGGTCCTTGAACCTCTTTTTCCTCTTGAATACGTATCGAGGACACTGGTATTTAATTTTCATCCTGTTCAAATTTCAAGCCACAAACTCAAGTGTTAAAAAAAGGAGAAAAGAAAAATGAACTGACTTTATTTTTAATTTGAGCACTCATTTTGATAGGTCACTTAGAGTGGCCCATTGGTGAGGGATGGGCCTGAAGGCTTAGCTGCTGGTGCAGCACAGAGGCCTCGGGCTGGGAGTCTGTATAGGTGTGGATAGCCTCTTCTCTTTAGTCCCACCGGTACCTCATCCACCAGCATGGGTACTGTTGCCTTCTCATCTCAGCCACAGAGCAGGTATCAGGTCTGCTGATCTCTTACTAACTCCATGGCCTCCTCAGGGCGGGCACATGCTTTTTAAACTCTCAAGTGTTTGGGGCAGTGGTTCTCAACTTTTCTAATGCTACAACCCTTTAATATAGTTCCTCATGTCGTGATGACCCCAGCCATAAAATTATTTTCATTGCTGCTTCATAATTATAATTTTCCTACTGCTATGAATCGATATGCAGGATATCGGATATGCGACCCCCCCAAAGGGGTTGCAGTCCACAGGTTGAGGACCTCAGGTTAATGGGTTCTTTTTATGTTAATTAGGCTTGTCAGATTGGTCTGCTCAATCGTTACAAGTTCTCATTAGCTTTTCATGTAGTGGGTTTTGGTTGAGAACGATTTTTTAAAATCACCTAATTTATTAATTTGCCAAAGGTTACAAAATAGTCAAGTTGCAAGCTAGAATCTTTCTATGAAGAATTTTTTTTTTTAAGGACAAGTCTCACTTATGCAGCCTGGCTAGTAGACTAGAACTGATCTCCATATTCATAGAGATCCACCTGCCTCTGTCGAGCGCTGGATTAAAGGTATAACCACCACCCCTGACTGTAGTAGCTAGAGTTTTCCTGCCTGGCCCACAGTCAGGACAAATCTCTCTCACCTGCCAGTCCCACAGCCGCTCAGACCCGACCAAGTAAACACAGAGACTTATATTGGTTTCAAACTGTATGGCCGTGGCAGGCTTCTTGCTAACTGTTCTTACAGCTTAAATTAATCCATTTCTATTAATCTATACCTTGCCATATGGCTCATGGCTTACCGGCATCTTTACATGCTGTTTCTCATCATGGCGGCTGGCGGTGTCTCTCTCACTCAGCCTTCCACTTCCCAGTTCTATTCTCCTCCTTGTCCCGCCTATACTTCCTGCCTGGCCACAGGCCAATCAGTGATTTATTTATTGACCAATCAGCAACACATTTGACATACAGACCATCCCACAGCACCTGACCTCTATGAAGAACTTTTGTTGAAGCTGAGTGTGGTAGTCCGTTCTCATAATTCTAGCATTTGTGAGGCTGATGCAGAGGAGTCAAGATTTTGATGCCAGCCTGCACAAGACCTCTCAAAAACATGAAATAAAATTCTAAAAGGGAGCAAAGATCTGCAGCTTACGTTTGTCAGGCTTGAGGTTTGTGATGCTGGACTTGCTGGGACGTCACCTCACCAGGTGCCCAGTGCAGTCGTGGCTCCGTTCTGGTCTGCACTGGTTTTGCACCAGCAAGGTGCCATGCCGACTGTTGCGCCTGTGCGTTTTCAGTAACCCCAAGCAGAGGAGCACTTAGCCATGCTGAGCTGCCTGCCTGTCAGGATTATTTCCTTAGGTGTGAATTAATTACTGCCCCTAAGGCTGTACTACAAATCTGCAGTGTTTTTTTTTTTTTTTTTTTTTTTTGGTTTTTCGAGACAGGGTTTCTCTGTGTAGCTTTGCGCCTTTCCTGGAACTCACTTGGTAGTCCAGGCTGGCCTCGAACTCACAGAGATCCGCCTGGCTCTGCCTCCCGAGTGCTGGGATTAAAGGCGTGCGCCACCACTGCCCGGCAATCTGCAGTGTTTTAATGGTTAGCTCCTAATGCTTTTCTTCATAAGCCCTGTCGTTTTTTAGTGTGCAGTTTTGCAGAATGTGACGTTTTGAAGAGCATCTAGTTTGTATATACGATCATGCAGGTGTTTATAGGTACATGTATGTGTGTGTGTGTGTGTGTGTGTGTGTGTGTGTGTGTGTGCATATATATGTGTGTAGGTAAACACGCACACGTGTGCATGGCTAGGTGAAGGCCAGAGAGCAATCTTGGGTATTAGTCCTCAGGAGCTGTCTGCCCTGTTTTTTGAGACAGGGTTTCTCACTGGAACCTGAAAGCTTGCTGATTTGGCTAGACTGGGGGGCAGTGGCCTCTGGGATCCTCCTGTCTTGGTCTCCCCAGCACTAGAGTTGTAAGTGGTGCCACCACGCCCGTCTTTTCAGCTGGGACTTGAACTCAGATCCTCATGCTTGCATGGCAAGCATTTCATCACCTAAGCTATTGCCCTGCTTCATTTTTTTAAAGAAAAAACACAAAAAACATGAATTTTCTTAATTCAAATCTGTGACTACGTTTTTGAAAAGCGTTTTTTAAAGTTTTGGAGAGATATCTCTGGTGGAGTGCTTGCCTAGAATGTGCAAGGTTTGGCCCTCATTATTAAAACAAACAAAAATGTACTTTGATTCTAAACACAGTGTTTCACGCCTGTGACCCGCAACACTTGGGAAGCTGAGGCAGTAGGATTACTAAGTTAGAGGCCAGCATGAGCATAGTGTGAGTTTCTGCCTCCTAAAAACCAATCAAACAAAAATGCTTGCTTGATCTTTATTGCTCTTCTATATTATGAATTTTGGTGGTTCCTAACATTGGCATAGTGTATGCTGCTTTAGTCAAATACCAGATTTAGAGGAATAGGAATATGAAAAATGAATATTTTTACTAACAATTACTGAAAATTGTTAAAGAGGTTTTTTTTTTTTTGCAGGTTTTTCTATAGGATACATCCTACTTAGATCACCTAATCCCTCATTGTGGCAATTTACCAAATAAAGTTCTATTTAAACTCAGTTGTTTTCACTTTTGCTTTTAATTTGTTGGTTCCCTGGTGTCTCACGTAGGTGGCTTTTGGATTGGGTTTGCCCTTCCCTTCTGGTTTTGTTATATATAGTTCTTGTGTATGCTTTTAGTAGAAACAACTATATTTCTACGACCTTTTTCTTAGATAAATGTTCTCAGATTTTACAGCCCATTTTGAGCTCAGCTTTTTAAACTGTCCTCCCTAATCATTTAGTGATAGAAGTGTTCCTCCTGTAGACACATAAGGGCTGCATTGCTATGCGAGTTGGTTCATGGGTTCCTTGTTGGGTTATTGACCATCTTGGCCGTTACATTGGTGCCATAGTGAGCAGCTGCGTGTATATGACCTCCGTGGCTTTGCTAGTGTTTGGGGGCCACATTCCTGGAGGTCGTGCTGCTGGGCCAAGGACTAAATGGGCTCAGCAAATAGCTCTGCTCTCACTCTCACCAAGCTAGCGCAGCCCCCAGTCCCATGCAGGACCACTGCTGACTTTTGGTTGTGAACTGTTTGCTCACACTTCCTGTCTCTCTCACACTTCCTGTTTGTTCTCTAAAAGCTCTTCATTTTCCTCACTTTGTCTTTGTGTTATGTTTTGAAGCTGTATGACCTTTGTGATACAAGTTTTAGTTTAGTTTAGTTTTTTCTTCATTTGTTTTTGTACTTTGCTTAAAGTTTTTTATTTTCATTTAAAAGGCTTCTTTTCAGCTTTCTTTTGTTTTAGGTTAATTGCAGATGCCTTACTTGCTAGTCAATATTCTTGATTTCTAAAAATAGCTAGTATCTGGCAGGATAAACAGGCATGACTTTCCAACGTAACATGATTAAGTCCTGGGGTACGCTTGAGAATTTAATGAAAAGACTTATTTACTGTATTATTTAAAAGTTGCAATAAGGAAAAAAAAGGCTTTCTTTTAAGGTTATTTCAGTTATTCCTGGATGTTGAGTTAATCTTAGGGTAGTGCCTAGAACTTACATTGAATATTGTGTGAGACAGATCTAACTTTTATCTAGTTCTATAGATTGAATAGTATTTGTCATTAAATCATTTACTAAAAATTGTTTTTATAGTGATTTGAGATATAGTTCTGTTTCATGAAAGTATTGAGGCTGGCCTTTCATTTTTCTTTCTTTTTTTTTTTTTTTTGAGAAGCTGTAAATACGCAAATTAAAAGGAAGTCAGACTGCCCTCTACTGTAGTGTATTTTCAGGGTACCCAGTGTTTTCTAATTTCGTAGCTAAGCATAACTGAGTTACTGTCAAGGAAACTGAAATCCCAAGCTCTGTGACTTCACCACTGATGAAGTGTTGTTCCTCGCAGTGCCACAAGGTTGCAGTAGTGAGAGAAGATAAATTGGAAGGTAAGAGTTTGAGTCGCTAAGAAGGCTTTTCGCTTTTCCACTTACGGCATTGATTGGACACACTCTGCAATAGAGTGTATTTGGCTATTTAATCAAAAGAGTTTTATATTCCTTTTATTAATGGTTTCTGAAAGCTAAAATCTTCTTACATTTGCCTAACTTCCATTTTTTAAGGCTAGTAGCAGCTGACATAAAGTACATCTATGACAGGATTTCAAGATTCATGACAGGCATACAAAAATTGTCATTATTCCAGGTGACATGGTTCCATAAACTGGGTCATGACCCCATGTGGGGTTGAATAACCGAATCTAGGGCTTGTAAAAAGATTACCAAACTGAGTTCATGACAACCAAAACTTAATTCAGAATCAAACGTGATGACTCTGAGGGTTTTGTGGCAGTACCACTCATGTTGCATCATGGAACTTGACTGTAGCCTTGGTTCTGAACACACAATGAGTGCTCTTCGCGTTGTGCGACATCCTGTCATGCAGCACCAGTGAACATGGCTGAGATACCTTGGCCCAGACTGGAGCCTGTGTATGACGCATGCTGTGTTGGATGTTCTCAGCTGCAGTCTTTTTACTGTATGTGCAAACTTCTGTGCCCTTGTAGAAACACATGTTTTTATTATGGGAAACAATATTTTCCCACCATTGTTCCTTACTGTATATCAGAGGAATATGTTGGGGGATTGTATTTATGTTAGATTACTTGATTCTAAAAACTGCTATTTGAGTTGCTAGTTGTTTTATTTATTTATTTATTTATTTTTTTGGTTTTTCGAGACAGGGTTTCTCTGTGTAGCTTTGCGCCTTTCCTGGAACTCACTTGGTAGCCCAGGCTGGCCTCGAACTCACAGAGATCCGCCTGGCTCTGCCTCCCGAGTGCTGGGATTAAAGGCGTGCGCCACCACCGCCCGGCTATTTATTTATTTTTTTAATCAGTAAATTTCAGCTTGGATTAGAACAGGGTTTCCAGCAATCTGAAATGGCCTAAATATGCTTCTTCTATTTTGTACTATGTATTGCTGCAGAGTGGTGGCATTGTCAGCACTGATGATTGTAAAAGCAAAATATTGATTAGCTAAAAAACATTGATGTGTTCTGCGTTCTGCAGTATCAAATATTCTGCCAAGATTTCAATTCTTTGTGTAAAAATAGACACGCACACTTGTTTCATTAGTATGTTAAATTTGTTTTCATTTTTAATAAGTAATAAAATTATATTTATGTCCAAGGGTTGCTTTAAAATAAAATTCCTTATGACTTACTATCAGTAAATATTTGAATTGTGTACCTATTTTTTTATATATAAAGTTGCATAAAAATTTCTCTGTCGATAAAGGAAATGTTAAGAAACTGCCATTTGTGATGATTACTATGTCCCAAGCGCTATGCTAGGTACTGGGGACAGGGCACAATTTAGGCACAGTGTCTTCCCTTGTAGACCCCAGTTTGTTCCTGTGATAGTCTTTTGATTTTTCTCTGTAGACTCAGCTCATTAGTAATAATATTATGTAGTTGCTTTCTCTACATTGTAATTGGAACATGTAACTTAAGTCTTCTCAGGTAGAGATTACTTCATTATCTTTAACTGGTTGAAAACAAAGCATCATCATCATCATCATCATTAATAACTATTGGCCGACTGTCTGTGGATGAGTGATAGCCTCACAGGTGCTGTACTTAGAAACCACTCAACACCATCATGTCCCATTACAGACAGAGGCTTAGGTTACACTGTATATGTAGCTGTTTGGCCTTTTAGAACTTTTGGACCCCCATAGAGAGCAAATGGTTTTAGTGCAGAAGAGTTTCTTGTTAAAGTCCCCACAAGCTATGAAGTTGTGTATTAACAGACTGCTTTTCCTGTTGACTTGTAGCAGTGAAGTCCAAGCTAGCTGTGACTGCCAGCATCCATGTGTACAGCATCCAGAAAGCTATGCTAAAGGACAGTGGGCCTCTGTTCAATACCGACTATGACATCCTTAAAAGCAATTTGCAGAACTGCAGCAAGTAAGCTCCTTAATGTTCTTGTGGGCTTCTTTACGAATTGATTTTGTAAGGTGTTTACACAGTGGCTGCCTCTTAAGAGTGAATGCCAAGTCTAGTAAAACCCCATTTATCTTGCAGTAAGACACATGTCTAGTTTTATTAGTACATCACAAGGTGAAAAATAGCAGCCACAACCCATATTGAAAACCCCAGTGGACTCCCCATAAATCTGTTTCTCATATATTTATCCTGTCATCACCACTAGAAATGTTTGTTGTGTCCCCTCACTACTCCTTTGCCCCAGTCTCTGCTTGTCTAAACCTTACCCATCCTTTAGGAGTTAGTTCAAATGTTGCCCTTCAAAAAACTGTTCCTAAATTTGATGTCCCTATTCCTTCCAGCCAAAAGTAACTTGGCTCCAAAGCTCCATAGCCAAGATTAGATCTTGTAAATCTTTTGTGTTCTTCAGGGCACTGGATAGTAACAGACTATAATGTGTGTGCATTTTAGAAACTGATGATCATAAGTTTTAGTTGTGGTTTGCTACTTAATGGCTCAGTGGCTTTGGACAAATTACCTAATACTCTCTAGATTTGGTTTCTTCATCTTTAAATCAGTTGTGATAATTCCTACTTTGTAAGATTATACTAAGGGCTCAAGTCAGTTCTCTAAAAATATACTTGGGTATCTACCACCTTGATTTAATAATAATTTAAGTTTGGGGGCTGGAGAGGTGGCTCATTGGTTTATAGTACTTATTCCTTCTGCAGAGGACCTAAGTTCGATTCCCAGTACCCACATGGTGGCTCACAACTCCCATCCATAACCCCACTTCGAGGGGATCTAACACCCTTTGATCTCCTTGGGCACTAGGTGTGCTTATGGTGCACAGACATGCATGCTGACAAAACACTCTTACATATAAAATCAGATAAATTTTTAAAAAGATAATTTGAATTTGTTTGGCATACATCTGATTAATATCATTGAGTTGCCATTCTACATACTTTTGAGAATGTGGCCCAGTACCTGATCCTAAGGTCAGTGGCCTACAGGGGATAGCAGTTACAGTACAGTGTTATCATGAGAAGAATGATGTGAGAAGATTTTGGAGACAGGCCTTCATTACCAACTTCTGGATGGGTGGACTGGGGTGGAAAAACAAGCGGCTTTCTACAAGGTTAAGGCGTCTAGGTTGAGACTCAAAGGTCCAATAGAAACTGTGCGGCAGATAAAGGAGTTTGGGAGTAAAGATGGAGCTGAGAGAGAAACCGACATTGCATAGTCATTATGGTCCATGGCCAGCACATAGGGTGAAGCTGGGAAGTCATTAGAAGACTGGAATCAGATTCTTCTTTGAGTATTTCCGTAGAGCTTGGACTTTATTCTGAGGAGAGCTGCTGGGTTTTGGACATGGGGAATTACTGCGGAATCTCAAGTAATTATATCCATTGCAATAGATAAGCCTCGAGGTAAACAGAATGATTTTGGATTCAGAACATAGGGCCCGGGCAGCAGATAGAGCCATGTAGCGAGAATGTATAGAATGAAAGAAAGCCAGAAAATAAAACTAAGGGATATATACAATTTTTACCAGCTGTATGACTTTGGACAAATGATTAGTCACTTTGTGATTCAACTTCCTTAGGTAAGTAGAGCCTGCAATAGTACCAACCTCACATGTAGTAGGGGATTAAGTGAGTAAGGTATGTGGAGTGCTCTGGGGTCCCCTTTTTTCCTTGCATTCTGTTGGCCACCAGTCCACAAGGACAAAGGGGCAGAAGCAGTGACAGAGAGCTGTGTCTGGACGATGAACACGGTGGAAGTAGCCTCTGGGAGACAGCTTCAGTGAGACAGATCAACTTTATCCAGTGAGGGGAGATATATAGGATGGGGACAGAGGCTGGGGTATCACCTAATTTGCACTAAAGAGCACGATCCTATCATACAGTTCCTAGTCCAAGTCTTAGTTATCATCTGTGAAAGCACAGTCCTGTTGTTAAGCTCCTAGCACAATGTTTAATTACCATATGGGCAGCAGAGGGAAAGTTTTTGCAGGAATTGTGTCAGGAGTCACACTAGAGATAAGCCAGGCACCCGCGCCTAGAGACATTCTTAATAAGGTCAGATAGAGAGCAGGAAGCTCTCTGCTGGGATGGAGTCCTCCATGTCGCCCTGCTTGGAGAGAGCTGCCAGGCCGGGGTAGACTGCAACCTCTGACCAGCAGGGCCTCCCAGCGGAGCTCTTAGAGTGGCATTTGGCATATAGTAAGTACTCTTAATGGTGGCTCTTTATTTAATGGATAGAGAAAGAAGGATCTAAGAGAAGCTTCTAGTGAAGTGGAAAATTATGGAACTCTTTGGGGTTCCAGAAGCTGAGGGTAGAGTTTCAGGAAAGAGGGACTGGTGGGATGGTCCAAATGCTGTGGAGAAGCAAGTCAGATCTAGTGGAAGGTGTCCACTGGATCTAGCGATGGCCTTCAAGTGCTTTAGTGCAGGGCCAGACTGATCCAGCTGAGTCAGACCTGAAGACGTGAGACAGCTAGCTTAGACAGCTTTTTCCAGAAAATGGGACTGAAATGGAGGGGAAGGAGACATTGAAACTTTGAAAGATGTAGACATGATTTTAGAGTTTAGGGGATGTGGTTCAGTGGTAGAGCTTGCTTATCATTCATAAGGCCCCAAGTTCTGTTCTCAGCACTGCAGAATAAAATAAACCCCAGCCACAGAAATAATGACAAGACTGGTGCTGAGGCAGGGGGATCACTGAGCTCCAGGCCAACTTGCTACTTAGTGAGTATCAGACTGGCCCTGCCATGCAGCAAATGAAAGACTTAAATTGTATTATTAGGAAAGGGTTGGAGAAGGAGTGGTTGAAGATGGTATAGCAGCTGGGATAACAGATATGGACAGATCCTTGGGGAAATGGATGCATAATTGGCAGCAGCTCTGTTTTCTTTAAACATCATATGATTAGGATTTCTGTCAATGAACTGTTTTTCCAAATGGTGCCCATACACAGTAAACATTTTCTGTAACTAATGTTGACTGTTAATGATGGGCATTAGGGTGGGCTTTTTTTTCTCTTTATTGAATATAATAAGCATTTGAATAATTATTAAATAAATATACAGCCAGAGAATAATTTACAGGTCTTAGAGAAGGATTTCAAGAAAAAAAATAGTACTTTGCTAATTTTATGTAAAACATTTAATTTTATTTAAAAAATAATCTGGCCAGGCAGTGGTGCCGCACGCCTTTAATCCCAGTACTCTCGAGGCAGAGCCAGGTGGATCTCTGAGTTCGAGGCCAACCTGGACTACAGAGCGAGATCCAGGACAGGCACCAAAACTACACAGAGAAACCCTGTCTCGAAAAACCAAAAAAATAAAATAAAAAATAATCTGTATTAAATTCTTGTGGTATTAAAAAATGTGTAGTTGTGTAGTTGCACACACCTTTAATCCTAGCATTTGGGAGGTAGAGACAGGTGGATCTCTGTGAGTTCAAGGCTAGCTTGGTCTACAGAGCTAGTTTCAGGACAGCCAGGATGGTTACACAAAGAAACCCTGTCTAAAAAAAAAAAGGCTGTGACTCATCATATCTGACATCAGATAAAACCCGTCCTGTTAATGTCCAACCAGTAAAGAAATAAGAGTTAAAGTTGCTTGGAAGTGTAGCAGTGGTTCTCGACCTTCCTAATGCTGCCACTCTTTAATGTAGTTCCTCATATTGTGGTGACCCCCCCAGCCATAAAATTATTTCAGTGCTACTTCATAACTAATTTTGCTACTGTTATGAGTCATAATGTAAATATCTTATATGCGACCCTCAGAGGGGGTCTTGACCCACAGATTGAGAACCAGTGGTGTAAAGCAGAATCTGCCCGTGCACAAAAATCCCAGGGCAATAGGAATGCTGATAAAGCACTGCAGTGAACTCTGCTGAACAGGCCTCTGCAGATTTCAGAATCAGCCAGGCCTGGTGAGGCCTCCTTTGACCCCAGCGCTCGGGAGGTGAGGCAAGATCGATCAGTAGTTCAATGTCATCCTCAGTTATGTAGGAATCTGAGGCTAGCCTGCACTACATGAGACCCTGAATCGTGGTTTCTCTTCCTGTTGCTCAACAGCAACTTAAAGGACCAAGGGTTTATTCTGGTTTGCAGTTCAGTTGCACAGTCCATCATGGTGAGGAAGTCAAGGCTGCAGGAGCTTGAAGCAGTTGGTCACATCACAGTCCCAACCAAAGAGCAGGGAGCAATTGAAAGCTGTTCAGCTCATTTTCTCCTTTTTATGTAGTCCAGGATTCCATTTCAGGGAATGTTGCCACCCATAGTGGGCAGGTCTTCCTACCTTAATTAACCAAATCAAGGTACAAGGTATTCCTTCATAGGTGTGCACAGAGGCCAGACCCCCAGGTAATGCTAGATCTCATCAAATTGGCCATTGAGATTAACCATCTCATCTTATCTGGAGGTAGGAGTGAGAGATAAAGTAGGAGGAGAGGAGGAAAAGATGGGAGTTTTCTCCAAAGAAGAAATTTATGCTTGTTGCTTAGAATTGTGAGCCTCCTGAGATCTGATGTTGTGTTTTAGGAGATGTTAGAAAAGTGAAGAAGGTGAGATTTCAGGCGTGGGCAGTCTCTGACTTGGCCTCTTCCTGGTTGCCAGTTGCTGGTCCTGATCCCAAGGTGTGGAATGCAGACCAAATAAAGAGCTGTCTTAGGGCCAACCTTAGGTGCTGACAGTGACGTGAAACATCGCCTTTGCCACTGGCCCTGGAAGCACTGCGAGGCCAGAGAGCAAGGCCAGTGGGTAAAGTAAATGGTTTCCGACTGTTCTCAGCTTCATCAGCCGAAGGTGTTCTGCAGAACCGTGACTCAGTGCAAGATGTGTGTTGCCCTGGAGCCACTTAGAGTCATCTCTGGAATGAAATACTGTCAGGGACCACTGCGTGTAGGCAGTTCTTCTAGTTGGTTTTGAATACCGTCTGTCTCCACACAGTTTCTGTCTTCCATCTCCCATTCCACGTTGAGGGGATACATTGAAGAAGAAAGGGGAGCCAGAAGCCTCCTCTTCAGCCAGTCCTTCTTGTCAATCCTTGCTGTGTACCAGGGCTTACGCTAGGGCCTGTAATACAGAGACTGAAGAGGGTCTCTAGGGGTCTTCACCTACCCCCAGTAAGCAAAACATTGGGAAGTAAAATGTTTTCTCTATTAGGAAAAGCTGGGGGAACTCTGCTTTTTGTCTAACCCTGAGAAGGGTGAACAGGTTCCCGTGCATGTCGTGGACTATCGCATTACAGTATGTGAAAGAGGCCCGTTGGCAGTGACCGGAGAGTAAGAGGTGAATGTCCCAGTAATAGGCTTTGCAGACTGTTAACCAGACGCTGTTCCTGAGCCTTGAGTGTGCAGCCTCCTGGTGCAAGTTGGTGTTTTTAGAAATGAGGAACAAATGGATGCAAAGGAACATGAGTTATGGGAACCAGGGGCGCTATCCCTATTTCATGTTTTAAAGCATGCCACACTCTGGCTAGGAGAGTTGCCAAGAAACTGGTTAATAATGTATAGCTTTTAGTTCTAATTTGGTTGATAGTTACTGCCCTTTGAACTTGGTCAGAGGACCATCTTGTTTCCCAAGCCAGAACTATGTAGAGAGACCCTGTCTAAAAACAAAACAAGGGGTTGGGGATTTAGCTCAGTGGTAGAGCGCTTGCCTAGCAAGCGCAAGGCCCTGGGTTCGGTCCTCAGCCCTGAAAAAAAGAAAAAAAAAACCAAAAACAAAAAAATGACAAAAACCCAAACAAAAAAGCAAGTGTGTTCAATGTGATGTGGTAGAAAATGATTGATTCAGTCCCAGATTCTTAATTAGGTAAGTGTGGATTTTAGGCAGAGTTAATTCTCCCCACTGCCTATGTCTTTACCCAAATGAGAGTTTATATGAAATTTTTTCTATGGTACTCTAGTTTTAAATTCCCTAGTTTTATATTTATAATGTGAAAAGATACATAGAAAGCACAGAGTGTGAAAATGAGGTTTGGTAGTGACATTAATCTTACACACACGTCTCTCCTTAGGTTTAGTGCCATCCAGTGTGCAGCTGCAGTCCCCAGAGCTCCTGCAGAATCCTCATCTTCCAGAAAGTTTGAGCAGTCCAACCTTCAGGCAACAAGTGAGACACAAGCCAGTGACCTGACCACCAATGGCCATGGTCCACCTGCCTCCAAACAGGCTTCCCAGCAGCCCAAAGGAATTATGGGAATGCTGCTCTCTAAAGCTGGTACTAAAACCCAAGACACCAACAAGGAAGCGAAAACAGAGGCTAAAGAAGTAACCAGTGTAAGTCTGCCTGATGCCAGGCCTTTATAACAGTGTGTCCTTCAACCAGTGTAAGTCTGCCTGAAGCAGGCCTTTATAACAGTGTGTCCTTCAACCAGTGTAAGTCTGCCTGAAGCAGGCCTTTATAACAGTGCGTCCTTCAACCAGTGTAAGTCTGCCTGACGCCAGGCCTTTATAACAGTGCGTCCTTCAACCAGTGTAAGTCTGCCTGACGCCAGACCTTTATAACAGTGGGTCCTTCAGAGAAGGGCCCACAGTCGGTACTGAGTGCTCTACTTCAGTTTGAACATTCCTGATCGTTTGTTTGAGGTCTTGCTCTCAGGTCCAGGCTGACCTCAAGCTCGGGCTCCTCTTCCCTTTCTGCCTCTCCAGTCCGGGAAGAGGATGAGCCACCGTGCCTGGCTTAGTGTGATCCATATTTAAGTAATGCTTGATGTTCTCCTCTGATACCATTTCTCACCAAGACTGGGTTCTCTTCCTGTGAAATGGTGATGCCCAGCTTGTACAATCTAAATAAGATTGATGTGACCGCCGTTGAAATAATGTGCGTGAAAATCGTTCTGAAAAACTGCAAGTTTGAGGATTGTAGTGGTGTGACATTTGAGAGCATCTAGCTGGGGTTTTGCTGTATGTGTTCCTTTCTGGTATATTTAACATTCATGTTCTGTTTTATGCTTTTTTTTTCTTGTCCTCATTTTTCATTTGTTTCTTTTCTTTATTATTTAGTAGTCTGAGATAGCTTTAAGGGCATTAAGGAAATAACTATATCTTAGTTTGGTGGTATGTACCTGTAATCCCAGCGTTCAGGAAGTTGAGGCTACAGGATGAGACTGTCTCAAAAGAAAATAAAAGAAAATTATAAAGATACTATTTAAAAAAACCCAGAAAAGTGCAGTTCCTGTTGTTACTACTAATCTTTCTATTGTTGTCCTTTTTTGAGTTTCTGCTTTTAGAAAGAAGGCAGGAAAGAAGCAAACGTTGAGTCCTTCTGTGCACTAACAGTCCGACCTCTGTGTAAAGCCTCTTATCAGTTCTCTGTGAATCTTACTGTTTTATTTTTATTTTGTATGTGGTTAAACTAGAGCCCAGACTTGTAATTTTCCTGCAGGTCACACTGCTATTAAATGGTAGGCCCAGGATTCAGATCTGCCTCTGATAATTTAAAAGTACTTTACCTTCTTTCCCATTGTTTACCATACATACCACGTCTGATTTAATTTTTTTAAGACAAATAGTTTTAAAATGTGCTCAAGAAAAGCTTAGATGTATTCATAAATAATTTGTAAAACCAGAAAATAAGCTCTGGGAATAAGCATCAGATACTGTCTGGTGGTCCGGGTTCCTGTTCTAGGTTCTTAAAGCTAACATCTGCACATTTTGCCATGATAAATAGTCTGTGCTGTAATACAGAGCTGGTACTGCTGAGGTGGAAAGTTTTGTTTTCCTGACAGTTCCTCACCTGGCCCACTCTGGCTTTGCTCTTACTATGTAGCTGAGGATGGCTTTGAACTCTTGATCCTCCAAATTCCACTTCCCTTGTTCTGGAATCACAGTCTTGTCTCCCATGCCTGGCTGTTAGTGTGCTGTATTGCTAGAGATGATTGAGGCCATGGTACTTCAAGAACAGCCTAAATGTTAGACAAAATTAGAAATGGTGTGTTTTCTGTTTTGTGCTTTTAGGTATCTTCAGCTGGGGGCAAAGCACCAGGAAAAGGGAATGTGATGAGCAACTTTTTTGGAAAAGCTGCTATGAGTAAGCATGTTCATAATTTCTTTGAACTCACAGATGAATGTTCTGTAGTAACCTCTGCCTGAGTAGAGGCCATTGGTCTAGTTTTTGCCCACCTGGGTGTTCCCTTGTCCTAACATATTCTCAGTGTGCCGACAAATGCGTTGATGGCAGTAACCGACCACTCGACTCTCTGGGTATGCCTGAGAGCTGCTGGAGGGTACTTCTGCTTTTACTTCCTGCCTTAGGAAGAAAAGAAAGTACTTACTGCATGAGGCTTTTGGAAGCGGGTAATTAAAGCGAGAGAGCGGTTGCTTGTGTAGAGTTTCTGTAATATCGTGGGTGCTGGCATCAGTTTGCTGGTGTGACTCTAACTACTAATGCCTTTCCGGGGATCACAAAAACAAACACTTTGCCTTTCTTAAGTTCTTTTTTAAGATTTCCCACAGCACTGAATTAAATGTCAATGTGAATATAGGCAGTAATGGCCAGGCCATTTAAATGCATCTTTTTTTTTGAGGAAGAAAAGACCTCTTTTATTTAAATAAGAATTCTTTCTTAATGGAAAGAGCCAATAGTTACATATTTTTATACTTCTCATATCAAGTACACATCCCCTGGGGGTATGTGGCAGAATACGAAGAAGAATGTAGGAACCACAGGGTACTTACCACACACTTTCTTGGAGCATCAGTTTTACAGAGATCTGTGGCCTTTTGTTGCATGCCTAGCCAAGCAAAATTAGTCTGAATTCTGCTTTGCCATGATGGTCAGGTTGATACTCCGTGGGGATTGGAGTGATAGTGTTTTATTTGCTGTGGAAGCTCTCAGAAAAAAATGTTCTGTGTTGTGAAAGTATAAAAAATGTGGTACTTGGAAGTGATCCAGAAACACGCTTTGGTGGTGGTGCTGGAACGGCGCACCGGAGGTTCCTATTTCTGCGAACACACATCATAATGTCATTACCCTGCAGGCTGGTCCTGGTACACCGTACTCAGTCTAATGCCATTTCTTGACAGTTTTGATGCCTCTGTTGTTGTTTTTATGTGTTTGTAACCTTAAGGTCCAGTGAGAGATTTTAATTATTTAAAACTTTTTTTTATTATTTGTATTTGTTTATATCTGTGGGAAGATGTTCACATGAGTGCAGTTTCCCATGGAAGCCAGAAGAAGGTGTGGTATCCCCTGGAACTGGAGTTACAGGCTGTTGTGAGCTGCCTCCTGTGGGTGCTGGGAAGAATAGATAGAACATACTCGTAACTGCCGAGCCACTCTAGTCCCCAGTGAAGAATCTTTTGTTTGTCATTTAAAAAATACGTAAAATACGTGAATATTTGTTAATAGTAGAAAATGCCAAATTATGCAAGTGTTGATTATGTACCTACTACATGCTTGATACTACATACTATCATACATTGATGATAAAATGGAAAATAAGACAAAAACCTTTGCCTATGGATAGATGCAGACAATAAAAGGTTACTTAGCCTTAAAAAGAACGAAATGTTCGTTTTCCTAGTCCATTTGGGATATTTTAGTGCGAAAGTTTGAAAAGCGCAGATAAGAACAACAGAATTTAAAAATGAAGCAATGGTACCCCCATTGGACTAATGAAGCCCGCCATTTAGGTTTCTCACATAAACGCTCAAAAAAGTGAATAGATTGCATTTTATATTCTGATCCATCTACATTATCAAAGAACATACATGCTTTTAAAAACTATTGTACTAACCTGTAAGTATCAACCAAGACTGAGATAGGTGGTTTTCCTTTCTTAGTAGGTAGATGATTAAGCTGTTACAGGACAGGTAGTGCAAACAGCCTTTTGAAGAATTCCCACTGTGTATAGCTTTCTCATTGTATAGTGTGACTTTGCCTAGAAAAAGCTATCACTGGGTATGCATAAGGCTTGATTATTCACTTCTGTATTTCTCAGATGGCTGGGCCCTTCCTGTCTTGCATGGCCACTTATGTGGTGTCTCAGCTTAATGTAGGGACCCCGGTCAGGAGTTGAGCTAACTGAGGCCCATATCCAGTGACACCTTTGATAACTCACTTAATGTTTATACCTGATAGTAGTCTTATAAATATTATCCCAGTTCTCACAAAGAAAAATGACTTTTAGACTTGCCCAGCGGGAAGCAGGTTTTGAATTAATTTGGTTTTATCATTTAAGGTGGTAGTGAGACAGGACTATTCAGGCATTAAAAGGTCGGATACAGGGCTTGGAGAGATGGCTCAATGATTAAAAGCACTGGCTGCTCTTCTAAAGACTTAGGATCAATTCCCAGCACTCATGTGGTGCCTCACAACTATGTGTATTGTAGTCCCCAGGGATCCAATGCCTCTTCTGGCCTGCATAGGCATCAAGCATGCATGTGGTGCACAGTCGTGCATGCAGACAAAATACCCATACAAGCAAAATAAATGATTTTTTAAAGTAGAGTAGGAAAGATGTTGCTGCGAACTTAGCTGTCAGCCCATTTTCAAACTCTGTTCTTGAACATCATGACTACCTGCAGCTCTGTTTTTCTCATTTGAAAATAAGATGATACTTCACAAAGTTGAATTTAGGGGCTGTCAAGCCTGAGGACCTGAGTTTGATCCCTGGAATCTGCATGGTAGAAGGAGAGAACCTAGTCCTCTAACCTTCATACTTGTACCATGGCATACACATACCCAATGTACACACAATAAGTAAACAGATGTAGTTAAAAACAGTTTTTTTTTTTTTAAGATTTATTTATTTATTTCTTATGTATACAATTTCCTGTCTGCATGTATCCCTGCAGGCCAGGAGAGGGCACCAGATCTCATTACAGATGGTTGTGAGCCACCATGTGGTTGCTGGGAATTGAACTCAGACCTCTGGAAGAGCAGCCAGTGCCCTTAACCCCTGAGCCATCTCTCCAGCCCCTAAAAACAGTTCTTAACCCAAAAGCTGAATTTGGTATTTTGAAGCCGTGTGTTTGCTGTCGTTAGGGCTGTGGTGTAATGAGACATTAGTGGGGATCAGAAATGAAGATCATAGATGTTTTCTAAATCAACTGCTCTTTTTCAGGACAGGGACTGTTTTATCCCTTGCTCCTAACGCGTTACCTGGCACATAGTGGACTGTCACAGTAATGATGAATTAATATTACATGATGGGCCATATATATATCATCTCCTATACTTTTTTGTAGATAAACTTAAAGTCAGTTTGGATTCAGAACAAGGAGCGAAAGAAGGAAAAACAGTGGAGCAGCCTCCAGTGTCTGTCACTGAACCAAAGCTGGCAGCTCCCACAGCTCTGAAGAAACCCAGCAGGAAAGCCGAGCCTGCGAAGGTGCAGCAGAGGGGGAAGAAATGGTAGGAAAATTTGTCACTGGGGGAGGGGTGTCTTGTGGCGAGGAGAAGGTCCCTCTGGGCTTTCTACAGCAGGTAGTTTAGCTCAGTGCTAACTCCTACTTAATATTGCTAGAGTGAAGAGAGAAGCCCCAGCTCATCTCGTGAAGCAGGACCCAGGGCAGCCAGTTTGGGTGATCCAGGACCCAGGGCCACATTTTGTTCCCACTGCTGCAAAATAGACTTCAGTTTAAGTGTGTAGACACAGTGAAAGTGTGCTTGTGTGTGTGTGTGTGTGTGTGTGTGTGTGTGTGTGTGCGCGTGTGTGTGTGTGTTTCACATCAAATTACCCAGAGAGAAGTTACTGTTGCCAGTCCAGTTTAAGAGAAGAAGTTCTTTGTTTTCTTTTTATATCAATGAGTTTATTTTTCAAGTGGTAAAATGTAATTAGAAAAGAAAATAAAAAGCACACAAGCTGTTAAAAATGGATCCAGGAGTTTGAGACACTACCTCATAGCTGGTAGGAATTAGTCTGTTGAAAGAAATTCTAAAGGACACTGTCAGCACTGATAGGCCCACAAAGAACCAACTTTTGTGGTAAAGTTGGAGCAACAAAATAGTGACATTTCAGAGGGGTAAGGCTCTGTCCAGTGGGGCTTACCTCCCAGGAGCACAAGATATACGTGGATTAACATGTCCCCAGCCATGATCACAGCCTTACTCACTGGTGGAGGCCGTTACCAGGCATGTACTCAGCGTCTCCTTTACCAAGTTAAAAAGTCTTTTTTCTACTCCAAGTTTTTTGAGAGACTTTTACTCATCGGTTTTAAATTTTAGCATGATTTTTCTGCTTTTATTGAGGTGGCTCATAGATTTTTCTGCTAATATGGTGGGTTATACTGATTGACATGAAAATGTTAAACCAGCCTTGCCTTCTTAGGATTAGCTCCCTGATCATATTTATTGTTTTTACACACTGCTGGATTTGTTAACATTGCCCTAAGGGGGCTTTGTTTCTATATTTTTGAGGACTACAGCTCAGCCATTTTCTTTCCTGGTAATTGACTAGTTTTAGTATCAAACTGCGTTAACTTCATACATAAAGAGGAGTTTCCTGTTTTCCAAAGGAATTTGTGAATCTTATTTTTTTTTTTTTACATTTATTTAGTGTGTGTGTGTGTGTGTGTCTGTGATGTGTGTATGTACATACCATGGCTCAGAGGACATAACTTGTGGGAGTCAGTTTTCTACATCCATAGTGTGGGACCTGGAATAGAACTTGGTTCACTAGGCTTGGCAGCAAGCACCTGGATCTGCTGAGCCATCTCTGGCCCTATGTAGACATACTTCTGATACATTTAAATATTTAATAAAATATATCAGTGAATCTGGGCCTGGGTTTTCTTTATAGTGTGCGTGTGTGTGTGTGCGCGCGCGCCTGCCTGCCTGCCTATGAGAGCTTCTTTATATAATGTTACTCAAATTTTCTAGTTCTTTTTGGATTAGTTTTGAGTAAGTTGTGCTTTTAAAAGAATTTATTTCCTCTAAGTGCTTGAGCTTGTTAAAGTTGTTCATAATCTAGCCTTGTTCTTGGAGTATTGGTAGACTGTAGTTATGACTACAGATTCCTTTATTCTCTAATTCCCACTTGGAAATACATGTTTTCCCTCTGTTGTAAAAGGCTTATTGATCTTTTCTTCTTAGCCTAACAACTTCAAGCTTCATTAGTTTTCTTTCTTTCCATTGCATTGCTTTCTGCTCTAATGTTTATGCCCTTTGACTTACTTGGGTTTACTTTATTCTTTTCCTAGCTAAAGTAGAAAAAAAAGTTGGTGTTCAAAATTAAATAAGATGTAGGTACTCAATGACAGGAAGACTATGGTTTACATGTATTTGTCTCTAACAGATTATTTATTGATGAATGCTGTAATGGAGAAAGCAGACAGAGAAGCTAAATAATGTCAAGAGAGTCTGGGTTTTTATGACATCATTGGATGACTTTACGGTCTTGTCTGTGCCTGGCTCACACTGTCCTTTCACTGTAGAATATTGCCTTCCCTTCCTACCTGTTGGATATCTACTTAGCTTTTAACAGTTATGTCCCACAATGTTATTTGTCCATTAAATTTTATCATGTCGTGTAATAGCTAGTGCACTTGGCCAAGGTGTGTTCGTCTTTGGAGGCAAGGTTTCACTGTGTGGCCCAGACTGGCCTCAGTCTTAGAATCCTCCCACTTCTCTGTAGAAATCACAGGCATGTGCCACTCTGTCTGGTCTGCCAGGGCTTCTTGAGAAGAGCCTTTCTTTCCTGGTCTTTGCATTCGGGTTGTTTAGCTGCTTATTTAACGAATGTTAAATGACTGAAAGGCCAGTAGAGGGGAAGAGGTGTTGACAGGACTCTAAACCGGCCTCTCCAGAACTGGTGGAACCTTTTATTCTGGCTACCCTATCAGGTGATAGAGTTGTGGGTGGCTAACAGTATATATCTCCAAAGGATCAATCTTCCTGCTGGGCACAGTAGTGCACCACTTGAGAGGCAGAGGTGGGAGGATCTCTGAGTTGGAGGCTAGCTTGGTCTACATAGTGAGTTCCAGTACAGCCAGGGCTACCAAAAGAACGTGTCTCAAACAAAGGAATTAGTCTTTCCTTATCTGCTTCGTTGTTTTCTACCCTCTGCAATTATGACTGTGAGCTCTAAAAGAAGTTGCATAGGAACACATTCATACTTAAACATACACATACATTTTGTTCTGTGTAACATGCTTAATTTATTCCCTGATGGCAACAGGGGGAAGCGAGTAGACCTCTCTGATGAGGAAGCAAAGGAAACCGGAAACCTGAAGAAAAAGAGGAGAAGAATCAAGCTTCCTCAGTCTGATAGCAGTGAAGATGAAGGTAGACATTGCCATTAATTCTTGTTAGGGATCATTTCTGGGTTCATGCTCAAGGATCTAAAATTTTCCCTTACTGTGAGCTACAATGAGAGCAGTGGTCTTAGCATGAGAGAACAGTTTTATTTGAAATCTGCTGCAGCCTTTTGATCAGAATAGTGATCATTTGATAACTTGTGAAAATCCAGAAACAAAAAAAGTGTGACTACTTTTACACGTACTACCTAAGCCCTTTCTTTTCTCTTTTTTTTTTTTTTTTGGTTTTTCGAGACAGGGTTTCTCTGTGTAGCTTTGCGCCTTTCCTGGAACTCGCTTTGGAGACCAGGCTGGCCTCGAACTCACAGAGATCCGCCTGGCTCTGCCTCCCGAGTGCTGGGATTAAAGGCGTGCGCCACCACCGCTCGGCCCCTTTCTTTTCTCTTTAAGGCTAGTGTTCCTTTGGCTCCCTTCATGCACATGTTCTAGACACACCAATCAATGAAACTGGTAAACTGGAAGACCATACATAGTGTCACTGCTGAAGGGGGTGGCACTGTGGCCTGTTCCAGGGTCAGGATGTGGGTAGTATTGTAAGACAAGCAAGCAGAATAAGCAAGGAGTTTCTTTACAGGAAAATTAACATGCTTTTAAAACAAATATCAAGTACTCTTAACTTTTTTTAAAGTATGTATATAGGTGTTTTGTTTACATGTTTGTATGTGTACCATATGCATACAGTGCTCAGAAGAGGGCATTAGATTTCCTGGAACTAGAGTTACAGAAGGTGGTGAGCTGCCTGACATGTGGGTGCTGGGAATTGAAGCTAGGTCCTCTGGAAGAGCAGCCAGTGCTCCTAAACTCTGTACCATCTCCCCAGCCCCAATAACAAGTATTCTTAAGATCTTACCCCAAACCAGGTAAAGTATGTAGAAAGAACTATAGAGAAAGGTTCCTGGGCTACATTGTGCTATCCAGGAAACCTGGAGGTATCACAGACAGTTTTCCAAGACTTAAGGTATAATGTATCTGGTCTTTTTACCTAATTGGAAGATATCCAACATCATAGAAACACACATGAACAATGTCAATAAACCGTTGAAAGAGATTAGAGAGGAATGATTAGTGCAGAGAGGAAGGTGAGCTGTCAGGGACAACACTAAGATGGAATAGTTGCTGGAAACTGAGAACGGGACAGAGGCTCTGCCCAAAGGGCGCTAACTGTGCAAGCAAGCGGAAAAACATTAGACATGCAGGTGGATGAGCAAACCCGGGGACTAGAACCGAGAGCTTGGACCTGTCTGTGCTAGACCCATTTTTTCTGGGTTGAGAGAACGCTAGTCATGGGTGGGTTAAGGATCACAGCCTCTGATGTTCTGTGAGGGAACTAGGGCCTTTCAGAAGTGTGGGTTTTAATGGCTTTTTGAAACAAGCAGGGGCAGGGCTTACCCAGAGGGGTAGTTAATGTATTTTTATTTCATACCTTTATGAAAATGAGTAGATTACTTAAAAGAAGATTCTAGAGCTTCTGAATGAAGTCAGGTTCACCAGCGAACACCTGGCCAGTTAAGAATTAAAAACATGAAACTCTGTGGGCATATGGGAAAAGAATTAGGAAGTAAGCTTAGGAAACTGATAACTGGACTAGTCTTCCCTGTTACCAACCAGGAAAGCAGACTGGGGGAGGATTCCAGAAAGACTTTCAGCCAAAAGCTTGATGTACATTGAGAAGGTGAATAGGGGCTGGGGAATGGCTTCATCAGTAAGTATGCCTCGAAGCATGTAGGTCTCTCCTGTCGCCTGTGAAAAAAGCATGCACTTACAGTCCCGGCGCTGGGGAGATGGAGACAGGAGAATCCCCAGAGCTGGCTGGGCAGTTAGCCTAGCCTAATGAGCAAGTTCCAGATCCAAAAACCATGGGCAGCTCCTGAGGAACGGCATCTGTGGTTGAGCTTTGGCCTCCACAAACATGTACACCCCCACACACATGAACATGCACATACTCTTTCCACTCACAAAGCTAAAACTGAATAGTCTAGTATTCTTGTAAGTGCTAGCTCTGAATTGAGTCCTGGGTTGATTGAGCACCAGTGCATACTTCTAAAATGTTCTGTTGTTCTGTAGCCCACAAAATAATAATACCCATGGGCTATTAGAAATGTGATTGTGATTGCTTAGTTGGGAAAGGAGTGCAAAATATGTGATGGAGGTAAGCAGCACATGACAGCAGAGGACAGAGAGCAGAAGCCCTCGGGTTCTTTTCTCTGGCAGAGATAGCTTTTGGCATCTGACTGAACTTATAAAAGTCTGCAATTTTATTCTAGAATTTCTGTGTCTGAAAGCCAGCAGGATTTGATTTTGAACCTTTACATAGTCTCTTTTTATTTGTGTTCCACTGATGATAATAGCTTGATCTGCCTTCTCAGGCTAGTCGTTAGCAGATGCGCGGCAGGCGGGCAGGCAAGGGCTCCAGAGTCAAACCGACCCAGTTAAATCTTCCTGAGCGCTTACCAGCTGACGTTAGGCAGGTGCCTTAACTTGAGTCCTTGTTTACTCTTCCAGAACTGCAGTGGTACTACAGACTAGCTTTTTGTGGCCATTAAACAACACATCAGAAATGCCAAGACAGCACTTGACACATAGTAGCTTTTCGCATTGTGCCCCTCTTCCCACCGGTTGTATGTTCAGCGTGTTCAGCAGTGACAGAGATCCTTATATATGAATCTCCTCGGCAAATTCCTTCTCCTTCTTACTGGGAAGGCTCTCCTTCACCCTGGAAGTGCCATAAGCACCTTCAGTAGTTCTACATATTAAAAAAAAAATGCCAGCCCAGAAAGAAATAACATTAATATCTGTGTTGCTAGGAAGAAACAGTTTTTATGGCTGTGTTAAGTATTTGCTAACGTTTTCAGTCCTTGCAGGTTGTTTGTGGAGAATATTAATAAGCACATCACACACACACCGTTTTTTTTTAGGTAAGGATAGTTATTACAAAAATATATATTGAGTCCTAGGAAGCGGAGATTGCTTTCCAGGAATTGGAATTACTAGTCTCTGCCAGAGGACTCTTGACAAATAAGTGGTTACATTGCTGGTTGCTGAAATTAGTTTTCCCACAGTTCTTTTTCTGCCCTAGTAAAAGCTACTCTCTGGAGATGATGCTTCCCCACTTGACTGTTTCTCGTCATTGAGTACATAATACACAAAGCCTCCGTTATATTTACGTCAGTAAGAATGTGTTAGGTCAGAGTGCTTGGCTTAATAGTAAAGACTGAGTATGGGCAAGTTCTTAAAAAAATTCCTTTGAATCTCAGACAAATAATGATTTGTGGGGTTATTATGAAAATGAATGATTAATGTTTATAAAGTAGAAAATGTTGGTTGCTTATCCTTCCTTAAAATATTTAAGTTTCAACACAGTACTACATCCACACAGTTTTTAAAGTCAGATACAACAAAGTTTCTAAGGATAATCCCTACCATCTGAACCACTAAACTGACTTATTGTCAGCATTCTCCAGCTGCCTTCCATCTCTCAGGATGTGTTGAAATCTCTTTATTCCTCAGTTCTCTTCTCTTCCAGGGGGATTATGACATTTTATTACTGTATGATTCTTTGGGAGGTGGGCAACTGGAAAGTGGGAAGTCGGAACTATCTGCCCTTGACCTGGTATTCCTCACTCCAAGTTTTATCCAGGAAGTACTTATTCTTCTTGACTTAAAACAAACAGAGTGAGTGTTGCTCTGTGTTCAGGGCCAGGACAACTGTGGCGTCCTGCCTCGTTGGACTGTGAGTCTGGGGGGTGCGTAGGTGAACAGTTGTGTGCAGTGCTAGGAGGGTCCGAGAGGACCATGGAGTTGTTGGCTTTGGCTCAGTCGTCCCTTTGAAGAACTGAAAGTAGAACAGAATACCTAGGTTTATCACCAGGTCTTCAAAACGCCTTTTCTTTGGCTTCCTTGCTGCCTAGACTTCCCTCAGACCACTGTGACCCCGCTTCCTAATGAGCCATGACTTCAGAACATGGAGTTCTTGGTTGTGTGGTGTGACACCGTGTAGACTCCCGTCATGCACGGCTTCCTGGAGCTGGGCTAACGGCTAGACTGAAGCTGCTCTTCTTTCTTTTGTTTCTCTTGTTTTACTGAGCTTGTAAAGTTAGGACCCGGTTCATACCTGAAGTGTCTAATTGATTGCCTTGTTCTGGCTCATTCTGCTTCACCTCTGTAGGTCATTTGGCCGTGAACCCTCCACTGTCATCATTTTTAACACTGACCTAATCAGTTGGAAGAAATTCAGATTCAAGATTTGTGCAAAGAATTTGAATGTAGCCAGGAGATTCAGGGAGCAGGTGAGGCTAAGCAGCTACCCGAGTCCCATGGCCAGCAGTTTCTTTATGGTGATTAAACAGTAGGTTGGGGGTTAGGCAGGTTAGCTTAGTGGTAGAGTGCTCACCTAGTAAGTATAAGGCCCTGGGTTCAGACCTCAGCCCAGCTTCTAGGGGTTGGGGGAAGATAAAAATCACAAAAAAGATGACACCCCCCCCCCCCAAAAAAAAAGGGCAGTAAGTCTGCTGAGGATCCTCCCTTCCTCTCTGGTGTCCTTTTCTCGGACTTGTTTCTTTACTGAGAAACTGGGATCCCTCCCATAGTGCTCCATTGTCAGATACCATTTCTACAACGTTCTTTCTCTCCTAACTTTTTTCCTGCCCATTCTCTGTGTGGCAAAGCAAGGCTTATAAGGTTTATCAGTGAGGAAGTCACTAGAAATAGTCCCATACAGACTATTACGCAGGTTTGGGTGTTAGATCTTTTGTGGAGATCAGCTTTCAAAGGTGATTCTTCCCAAAGTCACGTGTAATGCCAGCTGGACAGTCTGGGTCAAACAGTTATGTCAGCCATTTACACGTCACCCTCAGAGGATGGCCACAAAGATACCACTGAGGAGCATTGAGTATGACAGGCTGTCTCTACTGAATGGGAAGAGAACATGGACGGTTGGGTTACAAAGGTATGAAATCACACTGACCTGGGTTTAAAACCTGTCTTTATGAGTTGTGAGCCTTTGTCAAGTGAAGGAGTCTCTTGAAACCTCTATTTACTCAACTGTATTATGGGAGCAAGATCTGTTTCTTGGGTTGTGATGAGAATAAAGTGAAACTTCTGACATGTGGTAAGTGGTCAGTATATGTCAACCAGCTTCATGCTCTGATCTTGCTGTACACTCGGCTAAGAGAATCTAAGGTATTGCCAACTTTAGAAATTCTTGATTCTCCGATTGTAATGATGAAAAATTACTGTCTATTGAAGTCTGACTGCAGTCCTAGGTTGTCGTGAGTTACTGCTTACAAAATACCCTTGATAAGCAGAAGGCAGATGCAGTGCAGAAGGCATTGTGCCTGTCAGAGCTTGTAGCTCTCTTCCTTAAGCTTGTTCCATTTTCCCAGTCTTCCCAGACTCTCCTGAGATGTACGAAGCAGAGTCACCATCTCCACCTCCTCCTGCATCTCCACCTCCTGATTCTGTGCCAAGACCTGAGCCCCCTCCTGCCAAGGTAAAGCCAGCACAAGGCTCCATTCTGCGTGTCTTCTCTCTTGGGATCCTGCAGTCACTATGGAATCATGTCCTCTTCTCTGTGCTTCTCCAGTGCCGGTAGCTGGCTCATGTTTCATCACGCTTCCCCTCAGGTTGGCGAGATGGATGCGATTCTCTTCTTAACTGAGGGGAGACATTGCTGGAGGGCGTAGCTTTAGGAAGCTTGCAGGGCTAGCTCTGGGCAGCTGTTTGTTTTTTTGTGACCATCACCATGAGGGCTGCTGTGCTACCCAGCTCCAGTTGGAAATGTGCAAAAGGAGGCCCTGCCTCCACCAGGGCAAATTGTGAAAGATAAAAGGAAACAAAACTCAAATTTGTTCTTAGGGAAAGGACTAGATGAGAAAAACTACAGCACACAGCAACACTAGGTTTTGAACGCTCTTTACTGTGGCTTGTCTGCTTCTATCAGTAGACATAGTGGATGGTGAAGTGTGGAGAAGATGGTGCTGACAAGCCTCCTTTGCTTTGTAACCACCAGTTTTCTTGAACTCGGTCTCAGAAGGTTAGTGTAAGTCTCGTACTGCTGTAGCCAAAGAAATGGGCTGAAAGAGACAGTGGCGATAGGAGCGAACTGACGGTAGTCATGCAGGCTTCTGGCTCGACTAGTTGGGTATGGTGTTCAAATGCCAAGGCTGAGCATGCAAGGATCTCCTGCAGGGTGCACACTGAGAGCCCCTGGTCTGCTCTGGGGGCATCTCTACCCCAGCTCTCCTGGAACGTCCTTAGACAGCGTATTGAAGTGCTATGCTTTCCTTGTCTCTCTCTTCCACTAAGGTCTGTAATCTGTATGTCTTTTTCACCAAGAACTCAAATCTTTCCTAAGCATACTGCTTCTCTTTGTGTAAACAGGAAGACGCCAGGCCTGTGCATACAGTAAGCATTACGTACCTCTGCAGTATAGAGTTGCTTGTTCTACCTTTTATCAGAATGGCATGGTAGGGGGTGGTTTTTGTACATTTAACATCTTCTGTTATTTTTTCTAGAGCTTCACTGGTCAACTTAATATTGTCACTCTCTGATCTTTTAGAGTTCAAGTGGAGAAAACAAAAGAAAACGGAAGCGTGTCCTGAAATCTAAAACCTTTGTGGATGAAGAGGGCTGCATGGGTAAGGCAAATGTTTGGTGTCAGGCTTGAGTCCTTTCCTTAGGGAGGCACTTAAGGTTCCTCCAGAGAATCGGGTTCCGGGCAGAGCAGGCTGTCGGGGTGAGTGCACATGGGCTTAGCCCACGCAGTGCTGCTGCTCCTGTGCCGAGGCCTACACCGAACACCGCAGTGGAGTCGGAACACTGGGCTTTGGTGGGGGCCTATGCCATGAAATGAAGCTCTGGGAGTGTGGCCTCCGAGTCACATCATCCTGCTTGAACATTTCCTTGAGCTGTGAAATGGAAGAGAGATATCTAGAGATATCTATTTTGCCTCCTGGTAGGGTCTTCATGAAGATTCAGATGAGGTGCTTGGAAACTACTGTCTCACACATCGAGAAACACTTGTTTTTTAAGTGTTTAAGTGTGGAGAAGATAGTGCTGACAAGCCTCCTTTGCTTTGTAACCACCAGTTTTCTGGTAAAGCTTGGGCTTGTTTCTGGGCCCTTCTCCACACGGGACTATTAACAGCCTTGGAGGCAGCAGTGAGAGCCGCTCACATAGCACCTTTTTATACGGTTTTTAGTCCAAGTGCAACCTAATGGCTCTTGGCTCTGGTTCCCAACCAGGGCTGCGCTTTCCTCACTCCGCCGGACTGTGCCAGTTGTCCTAGCACAGCGGCTCGCCCCGCCCTCGCTAGACTCTATTGTTTTCTGTGGGTTTGTAGCAGGAACTGTGGAGTTGGGCCCTGAGCTAGGTTGGGGTGAATTTCTGATCAAGGAATGGGGTTCTAGGATCAGAGAAGCTGAATGGAGTGTTGTCCACACAGACTTTTTGGAATGGCAGCCAAGGAAAGTGGCATGTTCAGCTAACATAAAAGTGCTGTGGTTTGAAGTTCAAATCTTCTCTGTCCTGCAGTTTGAAGCAGCAACAGCTTGGACTATAGAATTGACCTTTTAAATTTTGGTACATCAAATGTCAGCTTAAGACATTTGGTTGGATGGCCTGGCTGGTTTTTAACTTTCCAAGCAGTGTACCACATGACGTCAGCCATGAGACAGCCAGTGGTTTCACCAGGAAGTAAGGAAATAAATAGCGAGGTAATTGATCCTGAAGTATGGTGCTGTAGACATGCTGCCATTGAGTGGAGAATACAGCTCACGACGTAACAGGAGCTTACTACCAACTGAAGCCATTTCCTTTCTACAGACGGCTCTTCAGAGCTTCTTAACATAGAAATAAATAACAGTTCATAATTTTGTCCATGAGTTGAGTTGTAGGATACATGTAGCATAGTGCATGTTGGGAGTGGAGGGTGTTCTGGGATTGTGCTTGCTGGACTGTAGTGTGCCATGAGAATGTTTCAAGTGTCTAATCAAAAAGATTGACAGATTTCTCTAATACTGCTGGCTATGTGAAGTACCCGAAAGTCTTGCTAAAATTGAAATTCTTGTGCGTTTTTCTTGTCTTTCTCTTTTCCCTTCCTCCTTTGTAGGCATGGTCTTACCATATAACTAGGCTGATCTTACCAGGGCTCTCTTGCCAGTCTCCAAGGGCACAGATTTCAAGTGTTTGCCACCACACCTGACTGAGATGCTGAGTTTCTAATTAGATTACAAAGAGAGTCCAAGTCCTCTAGTCTGCGTTTTCTTTCTTTCTTCCTTTCTTCCTTTCTTCCTTTCTTTCTTTCTTTCTTTCTTTCTTTCTTTCTTTCTTTCTTTCTTTCTTTCTTTCTTTCCTTCCTTCCTTCCTTCCTTCCTTCCTTTCTTTCTTTCTTTCTCTTTTTCTTTTGTTTCCTTCCTTCCTTCCTTCCTTCCTTCCTTCCTTCCTTCCTTCCTTCCTTCCTTCCTTCCTTCCTTCCTTTCTTGTTTTGGTTTTCAAGACAGAGTTTCTCTGTGTAGCCTTGGCTGTCTTAGAACTCTCTTTGTAGACCAGGCTGGCCTTGAACTCACAGAGCTCTACCTTCCTCTGCCTCCCGAGGGCTGGGATTAAAGGCCTGTCAGTATCCTTTGTCCTCTAAGTGGGCAGGAGTCATCAAAGTGGGTTCTTGGTTCTTGAAAGTAAAGACAAATCATAAAATCTCCTAGGGGAGATCTTAGGTGTTCTGTAGCCCTGTTGGGATTAAGTGGCTATGGGTGAAGCAGTAGCCAGACCTCCAGCAGAGTACACCATGAAGAAGAAAAAGCATTGAAAAGTGTTTGCCAAAGACTGCCAGGTCCATCCATATATACTGAGGGTCAGTGTGCTCCTCGTTTTCATGGAGAGGGGAACATTGATTCATCAGGTGTCACCCAGACCAGCAATGTTTGTGTCATTTGGGAATGTGTTTAGAAACAAGTTCCCAGGTTCCACCACAGACCTGCTGCTGAGCATGAAACTTTGGAGCTAGAATCCAGCGGTGTTCCCATGAGCTCGCTCCCCAGGTGATCCAGTGCATGTCCACAGTGGGACAGCCCAGGCTTTAGAACACAAATGGTTGAATCCCCATGCCTGAACCTCTGAAACAGTTTAGCTAGTATATTTTAATTAGAAGGAATTATCAGTGAATAAGAGTGTGAAACCACCTTGTTCTTTGATGGGGAAAATATACCTGTGACTATGCTTCGAGCACTTTATGTGTATGACGTTACTTTTTCAGTGGGGAGATGTTTCCCTTCACTGCTTCTCCATCACTTGCTGCATCCAGAAAGGCTGAGAAAGGATTTAGATGCTTCCGCTTTAGTTCTCATCATAGGGAGGTGACACTATATGTGACCTGTGGCTGCTGCATGTGATGCAGTGGGATTGGAAAATGTCTCCATCTGCTTTGGGAAAACATGATTGGAAGCCACTGCTTCTGAGTGTGCACACTGGGGCTGTTGACTACTCACTGGCATAGTTCTTTTCCAGGTTTCCTTTCGGAAGAGTTTGGGGAGTTTTAGTGTTTTATGTGAATAGGACATGCATGTATGTGCATCACATGTATGCCTAGTGCCCGAGGAGATCAGAAGAGAGCAGTTGTGAACTGCCATGTGGGTTCTGGGAACTGAATTTGGGTCTTCTGCAAGAGCAGCAAGTGCCTCTAACCACTGAGCTCTCTCTTCAGCCCGTTTTAATGGTGGAGGAAAAGGCTAAGTATGCCTTTGGCTCCTAGGGAGTAAGAAAACCGGTAACTTTGCTTATTTTATCATTGTCTTAAAACTTTCAAATGTATCATCTAGAATGGTTTGTTTGGGAAAGTTTTTTTCATGATATAGACTGAAATAAATGTTGGGTTCATTAGTAGTCATTCAGTTTCAAGAACTGAGCAGCTGAGTAACAAACCGTGGCTTTAGATGAGAGCAGTGGTTGATACCAGGATGGAGCAAGCTAGAAGCATCCATGGTGGGAGAGTGACTAGACAGAGTGAGAGCTCTGATAGACTAAATGAAGAACTAGGAAAGTGAGTGTTGGAAATGGGCAAGTGTGTGGGCCATGGAAATATGACTACGGAAGCCAGTCAGAGCATGGAGTTAGGAATAGGTGTTTGAGATACAGACAGCACATATGTAGAGCTCAGGAAGTTAGCCAGTGTAGACAAGGACCCAAGCAACAGGTTTGGTCAGTTAGATGATAGAGGCCCATCGATGACATGGGGACTTAGCTGTGAAGGAGTGGGGTATTCTCCACCCCACCTACAGGCCATGTGACGGCAGGGTATTTTCTAGCTGAGGCTAGCTGTGTTCTCTCAGGAAGAAAAAACCCAGGACCTGATGCGCAGGACAACTTTCCCTTTGGTAAATGACTCAAGCCGTCATGTCTGTTTTTCCTTATTCCAGTGACTGAAAAAGTCTACGAGAGTGAGTCGTGCACAGACAGTGAAGGGGAGAGTAAGATGAAGGTGGCCTCAGTACACAGACCCCCTGCCGCCCCTGCCGCCGCTGCCGCCGCCGTGAAAAAGGAGCCGAAAGATGAGCGGAAGGGCCCCAAGAAAGGGACGGCTGCTCTGGGCAAAGCCAACAGACAAGTGTCCATTACTGGCTTCTTCCAGAAGAAGTAAATGCTGTCCCTGGTCAAGGGAGAAGCCCAGCAAGTAGAGACTGTCGCTTACTGTGTAAGTTCACCTAGCTCCTTGCCTCAAAGCCTGTCTCAAAGTGCTGCTCTGCCATCACGGGACACGTGAACTAGTTCTGGTTTTTTCAGCCAAAAGGGAGTCACCTAGAAGCAGGAGGCAAACGATTTTGAAAAGCTGTTACATTGTAATGAGTTTATAAAGCACAATCTTTGGCCTGCCTAGGAGAATTCATTTGAGAATTACCTGCTGGGCCCCCCTCACCCTGTATCGTCCATGTTCCTCTTCTGGTCCTCTGTATTCTGTGAACTTGTGTGACAGTGTTTTTATTTTATGAATTCTACTGGATTGTTCACCACTTCTCCCTTTCCTCTCTGTACTGCCACACTTCTGTCCCCTGACCCCACAAATCTGTTTTCTGTAAATCTTTTAAATCTTAGTCAGACAAAAAGCTAAAGCTAAAATTCTCTGTAATCCCCTATCTCCGTCATATAGTAAGTGACACTCAGCTCCAGGCCAGGCTAGTGTGTAGTGTCCATTCCTTCCACAGAAGCTCTCCAGAACTTGGCTCACACTCAGTGGTTAGGACAGAGCACAAATAAAAATGTACTGATGTACCCAACCTCACCAGAAATGACCAAGAGTCAGCATGGCAGGCACTGGCAGAGCTGCCGTGTTGCCAACAGAGGGCATCCAGTCTACTCTCATGTTCATGGTTTCTTTCTCTCAAACGTTCCATTCTCGTACCTAGAGAATGGAACCAATGCAGTGAGATAAAGTACAAAGAGAAATGGCAGTTGCCTGTTCCTGGAAGGGATGGAGATCTTAAGGCACACATTTCTACACAGATGTTGCTCCTCTGTCTTTTCCAGGCCCTCCATTTGCCCAGCAGTACAGGCTCCCCAGGAAGAGATGGGGGGGGGCAGGGCTGACTGGTTATAGATCTAGACAGTAATTAAAACATTTGCTTTGTACTTTTGTCTGTTCTGACAGTAATTTTCAAGCACCTTCCATTGTGGCTGGGCAGGAGGTGAGAGCCATCTAGGTTGTGTGGCAGTGGCTTTGCACACTGAGCTGGGGGGAAGGGAGCACAGCCATCTAGGTTGTGTGGCAGTGGCTTTGCACACTGAGCTGGGGGGAAGGGAGCACAGACGTGGTGCGATGTGATTCACTCTTGGAGGATGAGGGGTGTCTGACCCGACCCTTCCACTGAGGCCTGGCTTGTGTCATGAGAGATGGAAGCAGCTGCCTACTGTTGAAGGTTAGACTTGGGGCTGACCTTGGCATTAACACAGCTGCTTTAGCAACCAATCATGGGCTTGATTAAGACCAGCAGCTTGGGAGCTGAGTCCTGGCCTTCTGTTGAAGGCTTGGGGGCCGAAGCTTTGGACATCAAACTGAGTAAAGGTTGGCGCACTCCAAACCTTTTATTTTTGAAAGTGGAAAAGAGTGTAATGCCTGGACTTAAGCTTGACAAAACCCTTCTGGAGAAGAATCCCTTATTTTAAGTGATTATTTTTGTCATTGCCTGGAGCCATTTTTCTAAATGGAAATGGAAAAGTACAAGGCCACAATCCAGTCTTTAAAGAAATCTGATTATGGTGGGATTTCTAATAAACCAGAATGTGAATTGGAGCCCTGCTGCACCTCCGAAGGGGGAATGTGTGTCTCTGACCCCTGGACCCAACACGCACCTGAGTTCTGAGCTGCCTGCAAAGCTGGGCAAGTATTGAGTGGTTGCATTTTCTCTCCATCCTATGTAGTACTCAACTCCAAGTTAAACAATTTTGAGAAGCTGTCTTGGAGCAGTCCTTCAAACCGAATGTCTGCTGAGTCTGTTTCTCGACAACCTGGTGGCAGGACGTGTAGTTACCTGAACGCTGGCCTGGGCCAGGCTGGGTTTGAGTTTGTGCTGCTAAAAGCGCTGCGTCCCCGCAGCCTGACCTGTCCAGGTAGTTGCTGTCTCCATCACCTTTTCAGTCCTCGGGAAATCTTGCCTTCGCCAGCCTTGTTTTTCAGTTCATTAAGAGGAGAATCTCGTCCTGATCTTGCATTCTGTGTTGCTTTGGCTTCGTCCCTTGCTGGCTGGGTGACGCTGGGCAAATTTCTGAGCCTCGGGTACCTTAACAAAGTTGAACTAAAATGAGCCACTCTGTGTGCTAAGCCGAACTGATAACTAGGCTGAATGTGGTCCACAGTGGCAGGCACTGGGTGCTGCTGCTCCCCATGGCGATACAGGCAGCGACCAGCTTCTTCAACTGTTACCCAGTGCACGACCTAAACGCGTCCTCTCAGGCCTCCTGAACATCTGATCAACAGGTGAAGATGCTTATCCTGTTTTATGACAGCTTTTAAAGAGTAGAATTCTCTTTTTTATGAAGAGAAAGGTTTATGGATGGCAGTATTTACTACTCATTAAAACGTTTATTATGTCTAACACATGCCAGGCCTCTGACGAACGCGAGAGGATACAAGGAAACTAGAATTTGTGTCTTGTCTTCAGGATCTGGTGGAGATGAGACAATAAAATGGAGCTGCAGGACTGAGAGTACAGTGAGAGATAAGTCAGGGTCTCCCAGCGCTCTCGAGAAGGTGGGTCGCAAAGTTAGCCTCTGGAAGAAGAGAACCGCCCAGTTTGAAGGACACGGATGAGCTTTCCAAGAAAGGAGAATGTGAAGGGTCTCCCAGGCGGAAGAGCATGGCTTTGGGGCTTAAGGCGTAGATTGTAAAATTATGTATTTTTTTCTTATGTGTATTAGTGTTTTGCCTGTATGTATGAGTGTATATGCATCATGTGTGTCCCTGGTGCCCCTGGAGGCCGAGGAAGGCGCCCCTGAGCTGTCATTTGGGTATTGGAAATGAAAGCTGCGTCTTCTGCAAGAACAGCGAGTGCTCTTAACCACTGAGCCATGTCTCCAGCCCCAGATTGTAAACTTTTTAAAACAGGGGCAAAGACATTGAGATGTGAAGTTGGGGTACCAGTGAGTAGTTTGGATTTTACTCGTAGATAATGGAGACCAACTGAAAAATGTTGAGAGGGGTTTTTTAAAACTCATTAGAAGCCAGTTCTCTGTGAGGAGTGACAGTTTGTCTGTCCTGTGTTCTGTATGCCGTGAGAGTACATCTACCTGTAAGTGCACGCTGTGTCTGAAGTCTGGTGGTGGGAGAGTGCTGATGGGATTTCAGAAACTCATAGCTCAGACTGCTTCATTCTGGCAGCTGCCGTAGACAGTTGCCTTGTTCCCCAGACCTTCCTCTGCAGCTTGGGTTTCTGTAGCAGGATCGGTTTTTAAGAAGTGGTTTCAAAAGCTGGTAGTTCCTTGACACCCTCAATGATAGGGGCCTCAGCTGCTTACAACACAGAGAGAGAAGAGGGTGGGGGCGGGACAGGTCCTCTCCTAGCTTTGTTCCTCTAAGAAGACAGTTCTTGTTACACAGGGAGCCGAAGAGGAGCCTTATAAGGAAGCAAATTGTTTCTTGAGGACAGGGTAGGGTAGAAGGAGCGCCTAATAACGGATCTGCCAGAAACGCACTCAGTGTCAGACTCGTTTTGGTAAACTTGTCTCTCCTTTCATTGGTTCCAGGATCCCAGTATGCTGTATAGTGCAGCGTTTACCACCATGAAGCCTTCAGGGGCTGCCTGGTTCTGTGGTGAGAAGGCAGCCTCGCTTTCTGAGTTACTACCCTGGCAGCTCTGTACAGCAGCCCATGCTGTCACCATGCCCTCTCTGAAGGGCACATTGTACCCAAATAACTGCTTTTGGGATCGGCTCTCGACACTCCCCGCTGCATGACACTTCTCCCCTCTTGTGTCTCTGTCCAGTTTGTGTGTGTGTGTTCTGAAGTGTGGCCACCCACAGATGACCACCCAGGCTCCTTAGCGAGAAGCTTGGTAAGGCTTCTGGTTTAATTTTCCATTGGATCAGAACCCACCGTAACTCCAGAATTGCCCTTCCATTTCAAGCCTAAGTGGCCACACTCCCCTCCTCCTCTTACTTTTCTCTCCATCTCGCCAGGCTCCTCGTTTCCTTGGCTCCTGCCACCTTCTTTTTTAAGGCTCAGCGTTCTCTGTGGCTAACCCATCTTCAGCTTTTCCTCTGGTCTCTCGGGCTTTCTCAGAGTTCTTCTTCCATGTGGCATGTCTTTTCCTGGACTGCGTTTGAAGGATGGAAAAACCGCTTTGTCTGGTGTCTGCTTCAGATCCTTCGCATGCAAAGCCCCAAGTGTTTGAGTGATAGTCACCTTGGTCCTGGACAAGAGGCTCTGGCGTCTGTAAGAGCCTGGAAGCTGTCGTTTTGGAAACCAGTTGTATACACACTCACTGTGTGCATTACAGTGACAGTACTCAGATGAGTGGTAGGCAAGAACTTAGCTGAGCAGAGCCTGAATGAGCACAGTGGGCAGATTCCTAGTCCCCTGCAAAGAGCATCAAAGGATTTAGGAAACCACTGGGGAAGGGTTACCAACTGAGTGGGTTCTCTCAGCTGCCGGAACTTCATTCGCCAATATACTGTATAGTCCATGTAAGGGAAGCATGAGTGGGGGTGTTTAACACAGTTCCTGCCCGCCCTGAGACTGGAGACTTATGGACAAGTTTTGAGCAGTTTGTACAGTGGTTCTCTGTAGGTTCAACTTGATTATGTAGGCCCAACAGTTTGGGCGCCCTGGATAGCAGGGTGCTCCAGTGGAGACACAGGCTTGAAGCTGAAGGTCCCTGGTTCAGCATTGTCCGTAGACCAGGTTCTGCCCTGACTTCAGCTGCTTTATTGAAAATGCACAGCCACCCACCTCCCTGCAAACCATCAGGGAGACAGTTCCTCATATTTTGACACACAAAATTAGGCTCATTTTTGAGCACCTACTGTGTACCAAACACCGTTGCATACATTGTATATATTAACTAACTCTTGCTCCTAACAACCTTGAGATGAGCACTTTAAAAAAAAAGTATTTATTTTTCAGATTTGGAGGCACTGTCTCCTGTGTCCCAGGCTGGCCTCAGATTCACTGTTTAGCCAACGATGACATTAAACTGATCCTTTCCACCTCCTGAGTGATGGGACTCTGGGCATAAACCATCGCAGCCAGTCTACGTGGTACTGGGATGGAACCCAGCGTTTTGTGCGTGCTAGGCAAGCATTCTACTAGCTGAGCTTTGTCTCTAGTCCATAGGCATTTTTATTCCCATTTTTGCAGAGCAGTTTGCTTAAGATCACAGAATTCAGAAATAGCAGAGACAGGATATGTATGTACATCCTGACAGTTGGACTCCAGTGCCCAGTCTTAACCTCATGCAGTATCACATGTTGTTTTATGTTAGTTGCTATATGTTAGTTTATCAATCCATACTGTTGAATGATGGCTGATGCTCGTGTGTGTGTGTGTGTGTGTGTGTGTGTGTGTGTGTGTGTGTGTGTGTGTTATTGCATGTATATCTGACCATGTGTATGCCTGGTGTCTATAGAGATCAGAAGAGGGTGTCAGGTCCCCGGAACTGGAGTGGACGTGGTTGTGAGCTACCATGTAGATGCTGGGAATTGAATCCAAATCCTCAGGAAGAGCAGCCAGTGCGCTTAATCACCGAGCCATCTCACCAGCCCAACTGGAGATGCTCATTTTAGTAAGTGAAAGGACTGTTCTGATCCTGTGTGCTCCAGTCTGAAGGCCGTCTCAGTATTTCCCAGGCAGTCATCTGAGGCCCCAGTCCTCTCGGCAGCCTCCCTGCCAGGTGCTCTTGAACCTATAAACAAACAGCCAGTTATGTTTTGTATACCATACTTACTAACTTACGAAGTTAGATAAGTAGACCAATAAATGTTAAGAAGAATTTAGAAGAGGTTTAGACAAAAATAAAGTTTTCCAGTCATTTAGGTCACCAGGAAACTCCTGTAAATTCAGCTTTCTAAGGAATCCATGTTTGGTTTCAATTGAAGCTGAGAATACTGTTTGCCTTGAAAAGTTCATTCAGTTTTTG